CAGTGAGTCAGGGTACAGTCCGGAGCATATCTTACATTTTTACTTTTCCTCTTCAGTGAACAATAAGGAAATGCACTCAGCGATGATAACTGTATTACATCAGAGACACACAGTAAAGCTGTAGACAGAAGAGGGACAGTGATGCTGAGATGGGCAGTGAATTGCTCTATGGCTCTGTAAATCAATGGAACACTGGATTATCAGTTATAATGAGGTTTAAGTGCATCATGTGGTGTAAAAATGGCATCAGTGTAATAGGTCAGTTATGCAGAAATGTGATCTGATTATTTTTTTATGAGTGCGCTTGAGTTGTTCGTTGTCATATACGAAGTCATAATCCGGACCAGTTTGGAGCTGTGTAATCCGGTGTTGGTAGTCCAGTATTAGTTTAGGATTAGCCCTGGTTTTGTGATTTAGTCCATGTTTGTATTGATTAAATTGGGCGCTTCACCTTTGGCTCAATGCCGCACCGTGATTGGTCCAGTTTCCGAAACACTGGTAATCCAGGTCTAGTCACAACAGCAGGAGTCTGACCAGATGTCCTTTCATGAGAGAATCACAAACAGAGCAAGAATTCATCTTGTTGGCCAGGTCCGGTTGGCCTGGTTTAGATAGCCCTGATTTAGTCCTAATTAAGACCTATTTTAGCCCCAGTTTAGTCCTGGTTTAGTTCATACATCTGATGGCGAACTGTAAACATTAGTTGAGATTTGGGGTCAGAAAATCTAATATTCAACTACTTCAAATTGATATTATGAAGATATTAGAAAAAGTGTTTCTAATATCATCATAGGAGACTATAATTGTGACTATGACTCTTCAACATCAGAGCCCCCCATCCTCCTCTTCTCTCTTTTCTCTCTCTCACACACTTCCCTCTCTCTCCGGTCTCTCTTTTCTTCCCCCTCTCTCTCCCACACTCTCTCCTCTCTCTCTCTCTTTTGCTTCTCTCTCTTTTCTTCCCTCTCTCTCCTCTCTTACTCTCTCTCACACTCTCTCCCCTGTCTCCCCGATGTTCTCTCTCTCATCATCCCTCTCCCTATCTCACACTCTCCTCTCTTTCTCTACTCTCTCTCTTTCTCTTTACTCTCTCTCCTTTGTCTTTTCATCCCCCTCACTTTACTCTCTCTCTCTCATCATCTCTCTCTTTCCCCTCTCTCGCTCTTCCCCCCACTCTCTCTTACTCTTTCTCTTTTCTTTCCTCTCCGTCTCTTTCTTCCCCTTCTCTCTCCCACACTCTCTCCTCTCTCTCTCTTTCTCTTTTCTTCCCTCTCTCTCTCTCCTCTCTTGCTCTCTCTCACACTCTCTCCCCTGTCTCTCCTCTCTTCTTTCTCTCTTCATCCCTCGCTCTCTCTCACACTCTCCTCTGTCTCTCTCTCTCTCTCTCTCTCTCTCTCTACTCTCTCTCTCTATTTCTCTTTACTCTCTCTCCTCTCTCTCTTTCCCCTCTCTCGCCCCCCCCAACTCTCTTTCTCTTTTCTTTCCTCTCCATCTCTTTCTACCCCTCTCTCTCCCACACTCTCTCCTCACTCTCTCTCTTTCTCTCCTCTCTCTTTTCTTCCCCTTCTCTCTCCCACACTCTCTCCTCTCTCTCATCATCCCTCTCCTTCTCTCACACTCTCCTCTCTCTCTCTCTCTCTCTCACTCTTTCTCGCTCTACTCTCTCTCATCATCTCTCTCTCTTTCCCCTCTCTCGTTCTCCCCCGCACTCTCTCTTACTCTCTTTCTCTTTTCTTTCCTCTCTGTCTCTTTCTTCCCCCTCTCTCCCACACTCTCTCCTCTTTCTCTCCCTCTTTTTCTCCTCTCTCTCTTTTCTTTGCTCTCTCTCCACTCTTGCTCTTTCTCTCACACTCTCTCCCCCTGTCTCTCTCTTTCTCTCTCTGTCCTCTGCCACATCCCTCCTGTTTGGTCTCATTTGGTTCACCGCGTGCTCTCTTCAGGCTGTGTACTCAGGCAGAAGTGCAGAATAATATGCACATATACAACATCCTGCATGGGATTCTGGGTAATATTTGTCCGATGTTTTCATTCACAGGTATAAACATACAGACCTGTTTTTGCCCCCTGCAGAAGTTAAAGCGTAGCGGTCCCAAATATGTCGCCCTTTGGTTTGAGTACTTGTGGAAATGCCAGCTCCAATCTTTGTTATCAGATTAGATTCAGGAAAGTTGCCCAAACTTCTAAAAAAATATGACTCGACTGTTTTATGTGGTGTTACTGTTAGTACTGATTTTATATATGTATAGTAATAGGTATGATAAGTCCACACGTTTTACATATCAATCTTATGGCCTAAAAGGTGCACTGTATGTAGCTTTTCTATCACGTTTCCATGGTGATGTTATTGCTTTACTTGGAATCTTCCTCAGTATGGCATTATCAGGTTGTCAATGCTCTACCTCATCTGTTGTCAGGAGCTAAGCAGGGATGGGTCTGGTCAGTACCTAACAGGAGACTGCTGGGAAATAGCAGGTGCCACAGTGGAGCAAGTCAAACCCCACCATTTTAGTTCAGTCAATACTTCAAAAAGGTCAACCAAAATGTGAATGGGTATTTTCATCTGGTTGCTTGTGTCACATTAGCTTTACTTAATCATTCAGAAATGTGTGACCTTCACATACTTGGGGAATGGCAATGTATTAGACAAGGGGCCTAAAAGAAGAATGAAAGATTATATGAAAGATTATAGAGAACCAAAACACCAAATTATGTCATAAATAAATGGGATTTGTCCAGTGTTTTTGTAATTAAGAATAAATCCAGAAGTGTGATCGGTGAAAGTTATTGTATTTGGGCATGTTGATGTGGTATCTGGACACACAGATCTCTCTCTGTTTGCAGATGTGTGCGGTACAGACAGTGAGTGAGTGACTCATTTAGACTTACCCTGAGGACACGAGCTCTGCTCATAATTCATGTGGAGACTCTAATAAGGACTAATGCGCAAACCAATGTAATATTCACGTGTTATCAAAGTGTTTCCACGGTGATATGAGTCTCATCTGAATCAAACCACACTTTGGCTCATTACATTAGGGAACATTTTGTTATTTTTACTAAACTTGTTACTGAGATGGAAGCAGAGTTATTGAAGATATCAATACTCATATTATACAAACTGGTATCAAAATTAGATACTAGTTTTGATACTAAAAACAATAACAGTACAAAACTGGACCCTTATTGAATACCTTCAGAACTACCTAACATTCTAGCTAAAGTAATATCTTTGTTTAGACAAGCAGGTGGCGGACCTTAAATAGAGAAGTTACACCTATAATCCCAGTTATTTGTCCCAAAATTGTTTAGCTCTATTTTCTATTTAGAACTGATTTGAAAATAACTGATTGTATTCATTCATCCCCTGAACCCATTGTAAGCAGAAGTGATTTGTTTACGTCTGTGCTGCTGTAAAGGACTTTTATTGTGGAGGATCTGCAATGGTGACTGACAGGGACCAAACTCAAGTGAATAATTGACTCTGAAACATCAGGAATTATTCAGTCCTGTCCTCTGTGCTTGTGTGCTACTTGAATGAACTGTCCCTGCGGCGTGTGACCATGGCAACAAGACTAGACTGGGTCAAAGTATCTCCAGAACGCTAATGGGCTGTTTACAGTGTGCAGTGGTCAGGGTCTGTCAGAGGGGCTTTAGTTCTGGATGAGTTCTGGTAGTGCAGCACCTAGGGACCAATCTTTAGATCAGAACTAATTTTGGTCAGCAGTCAGGACTAATTCACCTGGAGGGTTTGACCTTTGGTGCATGTTTTGGGTTGATAGGGGAAACTGGAGTGCCTGGAGGAAATCCACCCAGGCCCAGGGAGAACATGCAGAGAGGCGACCTGGGAAGCAAACCACAACGTTCTTGCTGTGAAGTGAGAGTGATATAGCTGCTCTGCCAGGGCAACTCTTCCAGTTCCTGTTGGTTAATCCTGGTTTAGAAATGGTTTAGTCCTTGTTAAGTTCAGTGTTTGGGCCATCTATAGTGGTCAGTTCCTTAAGTCTGGCTTGGACATTGGACCTCTTGTGGGTTGTTCAAAGCTTGCACTGGTTTAGTCCTGGTTCAGTCCAAGTCTTGTATGGTACCAGCAGTCTATATCATCAGTATGTATCAGAGACTGTTCAGACCCATTCTCATTTGGTTTTGGCTATCGTGAAAATGACCCTCTCACCTTAAATTGTTCATGTGGAAAGAGAAGAGATTGAACTTTGTGCCAGTTTTTGTTTCATGTGAATAGGCCCTGTAATTTCATTGATATTAACCATAAACCAGGTCAACATAGGACAGTTAAACAGTGAATTCTCCCATAGAAGTCTGACCTGTCCTTCAACTCTGTTTTAAACTATTCATGGGTTTCAGCTTCCTGTTACATGCATTGTTAATCACTATGGCAACAGTGCTATTTTTTCATCATTCTGAAACCTATGGTAAGGATTCAAGGATGTCATAATGTCCTGAAAGATGGCGTAAAGGTCACAATACACATAGTTTTCTAAATGTCTTTTCCTACTCTTCACACTGACATTTTTAGTTAATAAAAGTTTATGTCACTGTATTTAAAGATTCTATATTACTTAAAAAGCATTCTTCTGAGCTTCAAGCCTCGTTACCTCATCAAAAACATACATTTTGTTTCATTCACACATTTTTGAGCGTTTTATTTATTATTTGTCTGTCATGTAGTGGTAGTTTTCAAGCAACCATTGGTTCAGTGGAGATAGAGTAGAGGCAAATCCAGGGCTGAAATTATCCAAATCATTCAAATTAAGGCAGACTTTCCAGACACTCAAACCTGCTTCTATATTGTGGTGAGAGTCAAGTCCAGTGCAATATAAACATCCAAAACAAAACATGTTTTTAGTTTAGGTTTCAAATTAAATGTCACAATTATGCACTATCCTAAAAATTTTGGTGTATAATTTTGCGCTCTGTGTTTTGTCTTGAAAATAGCATAATATTTTAACCTTTAATTTGTCTCTCCTTGTCTCCTCTTCTTCCAGGACTACCGGGTCAACATTTTCTTGAGGCAGCAGTGGAATGACCCCCGTCTGGCCTACAGCGAGTACCCTGACGACTCCTTGGATCTGGACCCCTCCATGTTGGACTCCATCTGGAAACCTGACCTGTTTTTCGCCAACGAGAAGGGGGCGCACTTCCACGAGGTCACCACCGACAACAAGCTGTTGCGCATCTTCAAGAACGGAAACGTGCTCTACTCCATCAGGTGAGGAGGAATATTACACTATTTTTTTTAATTTATGTTATAATGTTGTTTCCTTATCAAAAACATTCTCAAATTTGCCTTTTCATTCATTCACACTTTTAAGACACAAACCCTGCATATTTAGGCTGACTTCTTCTCTCAAACAGAAAACACTTTTTTGTCATGTGGTAATACAGGAAGTGCTCCATTGTGTTTTTAAACTATATTAGAATCATGTGGATAATTTCAGCCTGGAATTACTGCACTCTACTTAAAGGGCCCATCTCATGCAAAATCAACTTTTCAGAGCTTTCTACCTTCTAAGAGTGATGTGTGGGCCTTGTATATGTCACCGAAGTGGTTTTTAGAATGATTCTGCGTTTTTTTTTTTAAACAAATTGCAGCATATTTTTACCACCCTCCCACACGTGACAACGTTCTAAAGCCTGCTACAATGATGACGCGGCCAGCTACACCTATAACGCGTTTAACGTAGCAGAAAGTGCTTTGCACCCGCCCCCTCCCCCGCTGCACCGCCTCCGCCCCGCCTCCACCCACTCACACATCGTCCTGTGTCTGCACCTTACATGTTTGCTGTTCTGCGTTATTTATCTTTATTTTTCGCTTCAAACAAGCTTTTTGTAACTATGTCCTCATGGAGAAAGTGTGTATTTGGTTGTGATGGCAAGTCAAAATTATTTGGCATACCGACAGAAGAAGCAAGGCGTAAGTTGTCTTCAGTGCTTTTGCACGATAACAAAATTGCGATTACACCTTACACCTCAGTCATTATGACCACTGATGTATAGTGGTAGCCTGTACAGATGGGCAGAGGAAGGGTGGCTCACTCAGAGCCTACGTCATGTTTGGAGGGCGGAGCCTGTGCTTTCTCAGGACGGGCGGGGGGATGAGCAATAGCCGGTCTTTCATAGCTCCTGGTCTGTGATTGCCTCTAAGAAATCAGTAAGATTTCATAACTATTGTGTAATGGATGTTCCAAAACTCAAATTGTGCTTGTATATGTGCATAAGATACAATGTGAAAAGAGTTATTTTTCATGAGATGGGCCCTTTTAACAAATGGTAAAAGGTAGGACTTAACCTTAAAGCTATATGGAATCACAAGGTGGAACAGAGCATTTTGAGCCTTATCAAACTGCTTCATTTTACAATACTCTAAAAGTACCTTAAATTGATTCCTTAAAATGTTTTACCCTTTGATTAGTTGAGATTGCCATGGAAAGTTCACAACACTTTTTGATGCACCAAGAAGCAAAGAATTTATAACAAGGCTAAAACAATAGCAGGAGTTTCAAACTATGACAATTCCAAGGCTGAGAGAGGTGGGGAGTTTTAAAACATGAGGAGTGCTTTCTGTATTACCACTGAATGACATCACAAGTAAACATGTGTGAATGAAACTAAACACAACTCCAGGTCTATTTTTGATGAGGAAACTACATTATGATACAGGCTTTTTCCAGACACTCAAAACTGCTTTTACATTTTGGTGAGAGTCCAATCCAGTGCATCCAATGTAAAAACATGCTTTTAGTTTAGGTTTTAAATTAAATATCACAATTATGCACAATCTTAAGTACGATCTTGCACCCTTGTTTTGTCTTACAGGCTCACGCTCACATTATCCTGCCCCATGGATCTTAAAAACTTTCCTATGGATGTTCAGACCTGTATCATGCAACTGGAGAGCTGTGAGTACCAACATACAACATCATATACAATACTATTACTGCTACTACTGCTACTACTATGATAACATCTACACTGACCTAGTACATACTACATTGAATGGTATGTATTATATATATATGTGTGTGTTATTTCTGTCAAAAATTGCAGTACTAACAGGAATCCTAATAATAAACTGCAACTAAAAATACTATTACTACTGTAGTTGCTGCTGCTATTACTGCTATTTGTGCTACTTTTACCACTACTACTCCTACTACTACCGCTATCCTAAAACGTCAGGTTCTGCTACTACTACTTCTTCTACTGCTACAATTACTACTACTGAATCTATCCGCATGCTACAACTTCAGCATGCTAACCTTTTCAGCACATCCCAATCTTTATTTCATAGTCCCAACATGCACTTGAGCTATACATGGCTGGTTTCAACAAAGCACTGTATAATTAAAGACGGACTTTGGGACATGTCATTTATTTTGCAGAGGAAACCGAATCCACTTCTGACAATCCGCTGTATCACTTTTATATTGGAATAAATAAGTTAGCACCACTTAGCCTCTCCTCCTCCTGTCCTGGTTCATAATTCATTGTAATTGCAGCCTTATATGTTTCTATACTTTGTGATCACCCACAGGAAAAGTGCACGCGACACGCTTTAGCATGCTATTTAACAAGAGTTCAATGTTATGTCAACTCCAGTGTTATGTAACAATAAACCATGTCCTCACTAAAGCATTATAATTGAAGAAATGCTAAATTTAGATATAATACATGAATGCATTATGATGTAAAATTCCCATTCATTTTTCCTGTAGGTTTTACGACTAAATAAATAAATACCAAGTTGAAAGCTCACTCGGGGCTCATCAGTGTGGGAACTACAGTATAAGGACCACAAGACCCATACTTTTATTAAAAATATATTTTCTAACTTTATAAACCACTACGTTTACTACGTTTTTAATTTTTTTCAAGACTTTTTAAGTTTTTTGGACACCCACATTACGAACATTACCTTTAAGTCCTAAATACATCATTGAAACATTTCAATAAAGTCAATCCATCAAAAAAGATTTATGATGGTTTGATGATTTTTTTTGATGATTTCTTTATATGAAATCCTGTGAAAATATGTACAAGACTCTTGGACAAAATGTACTGTATGAATGTGTAACCCGATTGTCTTTCTGTTATTTTATTTATTTAATGAATGAATAAAAAAACAAATAATAATTAAAATGAATAAATTGAATATTTAAAAAAAAAACTTTATCTGTTAGCAGTGTTGGGAAGTAATTGAATACATGTACCAGGAATATGTAGTCAGAGTACTAACTTTGAGTAAATGTATCCTGTTACAGTTACTTTTTCTGTCTGTTAGGAACTTCATTTTGATATTCTTCTTAAAATAAGCTCAGGAAGTTTTCAAAAAGCCCTTGTAAAAATGAATGGGAAAAATTATACAAGACTAGTTGCCATTCTGTAATACTGCAACCTTCACCCAAGGAATTCTTTTATAAAGTACTATCAAAAAAAAAAAAAAAAGAGAGAGAGAAAGAAAACACAGGAAGAATAGCAATGGCTAATGAAAATTCGAATAAACAAACAAGAAACTCTTGATCTCTGAGTGGCATGTGCATTTTTTCCCTGTGTTACTGTGGCAGAGTGGTTATCCTGCTTCTCCTCACTAAAGAGGTTGTGGGTTAGATTGCTTATCTCTTTGAGTGGCGTGTACATTTCCATAACTCTATGTATGCTTATGATATGGAAAATTAGGATTAGTCAGTTTAGCATAATATTATCTTTATCATTGCGAGACAGGGCCAGCGTGTATATGTGGAATACTGCTCTTCTCATGCTAGTTCCTAATGTGAATCACTTAATATTGCATAAATGCCAATGTTTTCATAGCACTTTTTTTTTTTATCATGCACGAGTAAGTTTGGCTGTCACGGACGGCAGTGAAGCATATGGCATATTGTGTGTGTGTGAGTGTGTGTGAGTGCGTGTGTGTGGAAGCAGGAAGGGGGGGTCTGCACAGATGGATGATGGGTAGTTTTTCCATTAGTGACCGTTAGCGTGCAAAGATCAGACATGTTTGTCCACACCAGAGATTAGGTGATTCATATGCACAGGAAATATAAGGCACGCACATACATCTGGGTTATAGCTTATAATGCAGATATGACTATATGACTGCAATTTCTATAAATTAGGATTAGTTGTATTTATTTCAGCATTTTAACTTATGAATTGATAAATGCAGTGTTATACTTTGAAAATTATATCTTGAAATAATCTTGCAACCCCCAACTCCGGCCCCACTTTAAGAAACACTTCCTAAAATGGCAGAATCTAAGTAAAGGTCTTTGGGCTTTCTTCTGCTCAGACACAGGGAGTCACAGCGCCCCCTGTGGAGCCCTGGGGTTTATGCTCTCTTCTGGTATATTTGTGTCTGACCTTTAGTAAACAAAACACAATTATGCTAAACATAACATATATGACACATGAAGCCCCATTTCTCTGCCACTACAAGTCCAAATGTAAACTTTGTTTGAGTGTGCAGCCCTATTAATTACAGAGATATTAACTATAACTAGGTCAGTAAATCTACAATCTGACACTTAAACAGCTAATTCCACCACAGTGTTCTGACCTGTCCTTCAGTTCAGTGTTAAACTAACTCTGGATCTGATGAGTCCACCTGTTGAGCTACACTTTAGTTTGAGCTTTCTATTTTTCAGTTTTTTTTCACTGCTTAGTGTGCTTAAACTAGTCAGGCTGGTGCCATTTAGTGCCTCCGCTCAATTTCATTTCTCTCCAGCGACTATGTCAGGAATACACCACACGGTTTGCAAGAACCCTGGAAATTTGTAGACCGCGCACCGACCAATCAGCGAAGAGTTGTGAAGCCATTACGTCAAACTCAAGCACCTGTCTGGGTCCCTTTTGTGGTACAACACCACAGTAAACAAAGCGGTCGAGATGGATGTAGATGAAGACATACATTCTGCGTTGGCAACAATTCCCGAGATTGAGGATTTAAAGTCAGAACAAAGAGAATATTTGGTGAATTTTATCAAGGGGAAAGATGTTATTGCCCTTCTTCCTACGGGATTTGTTGCATTACATATGTCATGACCAATAGCACCAATTGGTTAAATAAAAAAGCACCTGCCTACTGTTGAATGAACAAATCTTAATGCTGCGAGGTCAGACGGTTTCCACAAAGTGAAACCAGCTAATGAATCAGGCTATGCTTAAACTGCCCTTGGGTACAAATAAAGTGATACTGATAAAGAGTATAGGGTGTTGTGATGTTATCAGAGTCAGTTGTGACGGGTTATTTGTTTTCTTGCAGTTGGGTACACGATGAACGACCTGATCTTTGAGTGGCAGGAGAACGGCCCTGTGCAGGTGGCAGAAGGACTCACTCTGCCCCAGTTCATCCTGAAAGACGAGTCTGACCTACGCTACTGCACCAAGCACTACAATACAGGTACTTCTACTGCACCAAGCACTACAATACAGGTACTTCTACTGCACCAAGCACTACAATACAAGTACTTCTACTGCACCAAGCACTAAAATACAGGTACTTCTACTGCACCAAGCACTAAAATACAGGTACTTCTACTGCACCAAGCACTACAATACAGGTACTTCTACTGCACCAAGTACTACAGTACAGGTACTTCTACTGCACCAAGCACTACAATACAGGTACTTCTACTGCACCAAGTACTACAGTACAGGTACTGATACTGCACCAAGTACTACAGTACATGTACTTCTACTGCATCAAGCACTACAATACAGGTATTTCTACTGCACCAAGTACTACAGTACAGGTACTGATACTGCACCAAGTACTACAATCCAGTTACTTCCACTGCAGAAAGTACTAAAGTACAAAATAGTTGAAACAGGTGTTAAATCTGTTGCTGTTTAGTTTCACAGCTGCACACAGACTTTTTATTCAAACGGCTAAAGGCAAAATAACAAAAATAACCAACAGTGAACAGGTCGGAGCCACTGCCACTTTTCATCAGTCACTGTTTGGCTGCTGGAAACCAAGAGAGAGAAACAGGTGTAGGAGAGGGAGGGTGAGAGGGAAGGAAAGAGAGAGGGAGACATCCAAAGAGGAGAGAGGGAGATAAAACAGCTTCAAAACAGAGAAGAGAGAGTACGGAGTGAGGGAGGAGCAGAAAGAGGGAGGCAAAGATAAAGAGGTTGAGGGGTCTGGTCCCCTGTGTCTCTCTGAAAATAACTAGAACAAAGTTAGAAGAACAAATGAATGACTTATCATCCAGCTAAGGTAGTCCTGAGATATGGAGATGAGTCCCTGGGTGCTGCTACTGCTCCTCAACCCAGACACACAGGAATGGGTCAAATGTAGAGGACCCAATAAATTGCACCTTTAGTTTCACCATAACCTACTTATCCACTGCTGCAAATAGTACTACCTGCCATATCTATTCAAAATTACTGAAATGTCCCATCAGTATATACCGTAGGGTTGTCAAAAGTACCGAAAATCAGATACTGAAACTAGTATCTAAACTGAATAGCTTTAGAATGATCTTCAGCTGTGTCAGAACATCACAACAACAAGTATAAGAGCACATAGTCTAGTATAGGGCCCGACTGATATGGATTTTGTTGCAGCCAATATGATAACGATAAAATGGGACTTGGAGCTGCCGATAGCCGATATAATCGCCAATATATTTAGTGATGTAAAAATTCACTGTAAATCTTGAATTGTTTAACAAACTTAGGGGTGGCTCTAGTGGATTTTAAACTGGGTTTATTCTGCCTCTTTACATCATATTTACAGACAGTAGGTCGGACTAATGGCATTTTTGCATCACATTCTAGCAGCTAGTAAAGAAAGTAAACTACCGCTATTAGCCTTTAGCTGTAAATGCGTGCGCGTCACAGTAATTAAGTGTTGCGCACATGGATCTATAGCTGCGGGTGTAAACAAGTGCACGTGAGAGATGTGACTCTGGGGGTGTGTTCAGGGACAGTACAACTAATGACTCCGCAGATAAATACTAATACGGACCCACATATTAGGACATTCATCTGTCTGTAAATTGGATTAAATGAACATAATGTAGAGAGTCTAAGCTTTATAACAAGGTATAACATGCCCACATGAAATATCGGCCCATATCAACAAGATTTAGGCCGATAGCTGATATGTTTCCAAGTACCCATATCGGATGATAATATCGGCCAACCGATATATCGGTTGGGCCCGTGGACCAAAATGGAACCTACCTGGACAACTGAGGGATTACAAGACCATTTGGTAACTCAACGAAATGAAAATAGAGAATACAGAACAAAAATGAAAACATGTCCAAACTTTTCACTGGTAGATTCTGAAATTCAGGAAATGTTCAGTCATTTATGATTGTTGTTCTTTTTTGGTATAGATACGTTCAAATGAGTATCTCTTTTCAATTTAGTTTTATTATCAATTAGTATCTGTGTATAGATTTTTTTTTTTTTACCCTAACATGTCTGTATCTCTTCTCAGGTAAATTCACATGTATTGAGGTACGATTCCACCTTGAGCGTCAGATGGGTTACTACCTGATCCAGATGTACATCCCATCTCTCCTCATCGTCATCCTGTCCTGGGTCTCCTTCTGGATTAACATGGATGCAGCTCCGGCTCGTGTGGCACTCGGCATCACCACGGTGCTCACTATGACGACGCAGAGCTCTGGGTCACGTACCTCCCTACCCAAGGTAAAAGGGAAACTGCTGTACCGTGTTTAAGACTGATTTGTGGGTTTTCTTTATCTCATTTGTGACAGTGGTTCAAAGGGTAGTGAAGATGTGTACTGAAGTAAAAGTAAAAGGTTTCATGGCTAATTTGTAGAAAATATACATGAAAAATACAACTCAAAGTACAAAACATGGATATACAGTTTAAAGTGCCTATGACAGGTAAGACTACTCATTTTATTAGGGAATTCCATAACTATTGCCTAGTAAAAATCCTCTAATGTTCACAGAAATTATTTTTTGACAAATAAAAATATAAAAACGCACCTTTATTTTGTTTATTAGTATTTAAAGTATCCGAAAAATAAATGTTGTGTATAAATTGTGTCAAATTTTTGGATACAATTCTCCCTGTATCATGTTTTGAACTGTCGACTTCCTTTATTTTTCAGTGTATTTTCCCATTTTCCCTTTGCATATTGCTTCTTGATTTATGTAAAAATATAATTTATATTCATAATGGTAACAATCCCACCAAATTAAATCTAAATTACCGTATTTTCCGGACTTTTCCGGTCGCTCCAGAGTATAAGTCGCACCAGCCAAAAAATGTGCAAGAAGAAGAAAAAAAACATATACATATAAGTCACACTGGACTGTAAGTCGCACTTTTTGGGGAAATGTATTTTGTAAAATCGGAGACCAGGAATCGATATTTCATCTTAAAAGGCAAGTTATAGTAACAACAACAGAATATGTTAACTGTTAATATGTTAACGTAACATATTAACAGTTATTCAGATAATTATAGCATAAGCAACAGAACATAAGTTTACCAAACTTATGATCTCACTCCAAATGACTAAATCCATTCAATTCTTCCTCGGTGTCACTTCTGCGTGACTTCCGGAGTTAAACCATAAATCCATGATGTAAACAGAGCGCTGCTTCCTCTTCTGTGTAGCTGTCTACAGACTCAGCATCAGTTCCAGTTAAAATTATTCCGGCCTTTCTGAATCCCGACAGGATGATTTCCATTGTCATTGAAGTCCAGGCTTTGTCGATTCATTCAATGACTTCCAGGAAAGTTACATGGCGCACCCGCCCGGTTGCCGTGAAGCTGTACTCTCCATCCACGCTTTCCGCCAGTCAATCACGAGTTTCTCGCTCACGTCAAACCTTCTTTCTGATGCTCGATTACCGTTTTTGGTTGAATATTTCACTATTTGCAGCGAGACAGTGGCTAGAGCGCCCTCTCGCAGCTGTCTGAAAAATTGAATTATAAGTCGCACTGGAGTATAAGTCACAGGCCCACCCAAACCATGAAAAAAGTGCGACTTATAGTCCGAAAAATACAGTAGAGAATGATAAAAATCAGTCATATGAATGAATATGATGAATTAAGATAACCGTAATCTCTGGGTTTAGAATGGAGCAGGATTAGGATGAATGGGATATGTGCAGTACTCTGTAATATATATGATTCAAATATATCTAATTACTATTACATGCTAGAATTATATACACAATTACAGGTACATGTTTACATCTACTGAAAAAGGGCTATTTTTTGGGTGTACCTGTCGGGCAGTTGGAGACGGTAGAACAGCTTCTAGATCCAGGTCTTGATCTTGCCTTGGTCTGAATTGTAACTGGAGGATTTGACCTGCTGTGCATATTTCAGAGCTAAACCTTAAGCATTTGGAGAATACCTGTTCTTGTCTGATCAGTGGGAATACCAGGAGCTGCCTGATTGATTGAGATTCAGACGAGTTTATTAATCCCACAAGGAGCGCTTCGTTTGAGAAGTAAAAAAGTATATAGTGACAAACAAATATTCGACACATGGAGCAATTCTGAACAAAGAGGTCTGATGTCTAAGAAACAAACAATAAATATTACATCTACTTAGAATTTTAAAGATGAGTGGTAGATTTGCAGTCTCTCTTTTGTCAGTTTGCCCATGAGCAGTAACTAACCATCACTGAGAGAACGAATATGATAGTGTAAAGCATGTTTGAGTCTCCAATAAATCTCTCATCCTTTTTCTCTCTCTCCTTTTCAATCTCTTTCTCTCTCCTTTTCAGTCTCTCTTTCTTGTTTTCACTCTCTCTCTTTCCTTTTCACTCTCTCCCTTTCTGTCTCTCCTTTTCACACTCTCTCGCTCTCCTTTTCACTCTCTCTCCCACTCCCCTTCACTTTTTCCACTTCTTCTGTATTTTTATCTCTCTTTTTCATCCCTCCCTCTGTCTCTTTCCTCTTTTTTCTTCATCACAAAATCATGTTGATTGTTGGGGTCACACGTGTGACTCTGCTATCTTGTATGCATGAGTGTCCATCCTGCATGTATCACGCTGTATTACGTAACATTATTATCACTATCCTCTGCTCGCACACCACGCACCTCCTGTTTCTACCTCTCCTCTCTCTCCTCCCTCCCTCTTCCTCCTCTCCTCCACATCTCCACTCTCGCTCTCTCTTCCTCCTCTCCTGTGCTCTCCTCTGCTCCGTGTCTGTTCAGGTTAGGCTTTCCTTCTGTTCATACACAGTTTTGCACTTGGGGGTGAGGCCTCTTGTGTCAGGTCAGTGGAGCAGAGGCTCGAGGGGTGAGGGGTGTTTTAGGGGGGCACCAGCTGGGACTTGCTCCACACTGACAATTAAGCGAGAGCTGTGTTCCTACATATGAGGTAAACATGTTCAAATTAAATACAGTTTTTATGTGATTATCTAATCAGAAAGCAGATTGAGCCTCACTTGAGGCTCTCATTTTGGTTGCCAAGTTCAATGTTGAAATCCAGTTTTAAACCTAAAATGCCTCTCTCCAATCTGACCTCCAGACAATCATGAATCATGTCATGTCCTGTTTGCTTCCCTTTTATTTTGAAATCATTCATCTTTTTTCTGTTGCAGATTTACTTTTGCCCTGCCTTTGATTATTGCTTCATCCTAAATTGTTGCATCTGTTTCATTAGCTCCCCTTTTGTGTGTTCCTCATTTGCCGGATTGTCTCTCTGTTATGTCCTTAATCTTCTTCCTGGTTCTAGGTCTATTTTGGAGCCATTCATTGTACAAACTTCACAGAATTAGTGCTAGTGCAGCCTCTGCAACTCAGTGAGGGAATTCTGGAGGTTCACATGAGGCATGGTCTGTCCATATACTGACAATTAGAAAAACTATGTGTCCTCTAGAGACTACCTGCAGTTTTGGGCACTGGCTTGTGTGGGGTCTTGAATCTAGGAGAAAGAAAGACGAAAGATTACTCAGACATGCATGAATCACCCTAAATGAGAAGAGGAAACAATTATAAACGTTCACACACTTCAAAGTCTCTTTTACATATTATATCTCCTTCAATGAAACTAGATGAGTCAATCTTGACTGAGACTAAATTGCTACAAAACAGTAAAGCTGTAATCTGTTTTGTCGTCAAAATGAATCAAAATAAACAGAGATTCCAACGTTGCTCTAAACAGCCCTGAAAACACAAAATGACAAACATTATCAAAACAAGCCCAGAGCATCACAGCTACTGTCTATTTTTAGGATTTACCAAATGTAGCGAAAAGACAAGAGACGAGAGGAGGAAAGAAGGGAGGGAGGGGAGAGGAGAGAGGAGAGAGGAGGCAAGGGGGAGGAGGAGGAGGAGAGGAGGAGAAAAAGAGGGAAAGTTGTGGGGCATTTCATATTGTGTTAGCTGAGATCAAGAATGACTTTGGGGGCTAAAGTTCAAAAGTGCTCCAATAACTTAGGTATAGTTGAAGTATTTACTGTTTACTGCTATAATCACAACTAATCTTATCAAGGACCAAACTGGACTAAACCAGGTCTGTACCAGGTCTATGTCCTGTTTGGATTTTTCATGTGGCTTCCAAATGCAGAAGACACATTTTGCTATCCCAGGTCTAAACCAGGTCTAACCCTTTGTCTCTCATTCCAGGTGTCATATGTGAAGGCCATAGACATCTGGATGGCTGTTTGCCTGTTGTTCGTCTTCTCTGCTCTGCTTGAATACGCGGCGGTGAACTTTGTATCAAGACAACACAAAGAACTACTGCGATTCAGACGTCATCACAAGCCCAAGACCAAGGTACGGACACGCTTTATAAACTCATGCAAAAAATCATAATCAGGTGTATCGCTGAAAAACAGGTAGATGAATCTCTATTAGAATGGTCAGAATTTGCAAATCACAAATGTTTCAAAATGTTATGTTTAATATGAACTTAGACCTGCTGCTAGAAGCCAGTTTTGGGGTAAGTTCAGGATTAGTTTAGGCAAACACAGAGTTGAATTTAGTGAGCTGGCTTCTCTAGGCATCCTCCTGAACAATACTGACATCTGGTGGTTACTTAATAAAATGACATCTATAGTACACAGATACGGTACAGGCCCCAACTATAGATGTGTGATTGTCAATATGTGATGAACAAAGATAAGTCTTGGTTTAATGGTTGAAGTGAGTTGTGCATGTGAACCTCTGCATGCCTCTATCTGTGTCTCACTATGTGGTCTGCGTGCCATCCTTCACTGTCTGAGGATGAGCCACTGCATGATGTAGGTCCCTTTCAGTCAACTTGAAAACTATATTATGCAACAGAAAAATGCCACATTGTAAAAATTATTTTGAAAGTTAACATTTTTCAGTTGTAGGATTTAGAGATGGGCGAAAAGTCAAAAAATGAATATCAAGATTTCATCAGATTTGATTCTGATTCATATTTATATTGCCTTGAAATCCACCTGTCACTCAGTCACCAAAATTACATATTCAACTTATAGATAAAAGAACTTGACTTGAAGTTGTATTCTGAAAACCAGTGTAATTTTCGACATAGCAAAAGTTGACTGAAAGTTTGACATCACATTTTTCTTTTTTGTGTGTATATTTAGTAGTATTCTTTGTTTATATTTGTGTTCTGTGTTTGTTTTTGCTTGTGGATGCATGCTGGTGCTAGTCCGTCCCGGGTGCTGTAGACCCAGAGGAGCTGGCTGAGTCCCTGAGGAGAGTCACCAACAATGGGCACAGGGCCTCAGAGCCTCTGTACGGGTCTATGGGCAATCTGTACTCCAACCACCAACTTGTACCACCAACGCAACCAACCGTACAGCTTCCACAAGTATCACAAGTACCACAAGTACCTCAAGTACCTCAAGTACCTCAGCTCCAGCAGCTCCAGCACAGGGTAAAGACCAGGACAATGAGCCATACTTGTATGGGCGAGTGTCATGCATGTTTGTTTGTCTGCATGGGAATATGTTGTTTCTATTTGCCTATTTTGCATTAACTTCACTCACTGTAGTGTGTTTTCCGCCTGTACTGTACTCCATGGTAGGTCAAGTTTGTAAAGTCAAGTGATTTCAAATAGATGACAGCAGATACACTTAAGGGCTGTTTATAGGGCCAAAAGTTTTCACAAATCCACAATGTTTTGACATCTTCTTTTACACAACAGTGAGCTATGTGTTCATGTAATCCAGGCTCTAGGGAAATTGTGCAAAAGGTCATTTCTCTGGGCAAACATGCTGTGGCTCTCTCACAGAGGGAAGAGACAGTGACTGGTTGTCAGATGTCAGATGTCAAAATATAATATTTTAAGCCTCATATATTTACAGTATATCTACTTGTAACATGTGTCTAAAATGATATCTACTTCTAGTAAAAAGGAAGTAGTCTCTTTGAAGAACTTTAGTCAAATATAGAACTGTCAAGAAAGACAAGGCTTTCTTACCCTGAACACAAATCTTCTCTTACTCTAATCTTTTATAACATATAAAAATCTTAAAATCTTTCTCTTCAGGAGGCAGAGATCCAGGAGAGCAGGTTGGCCATCACATCCACTCCGAGCTCCACCAAAGACCCCAAGACCTCCTTAAACCACGCCCTGAGCTCCTCCACAAACCCAGGGCCAGAGCCAGGGCCCAACGGGGCCACTGCACCCACTGCACCCACTACAGGGGGGCGCAGCACAGAAGAGATGAGGAAACTTTTCATCGACCGAGCCAAAAAGATAGACACAGTATCCAGAGCGGGTTTCCCTTTAGCCTTCCTTTTCTTTAATATCTTTTACTGGGTTCTCTATAAGATCCTGAGACATGAGGACTTTCACGCACAGTAGAAAGTACTTTTATAATGTAATGCAACGGACTTGTACAGTTTGAAGCATTTTTGTGGTTGTTTAAGACACCAGTTTCACTTTGTACATGTTAAAGCTATGGTATGACTGTGGTATTCACTTTTTTGTATTCTACTAATTATAAGGCTTTAAATGTATCAAAGGTGGAGTAAACTACAATCACACAAGTAGAAGCAGAGTTAAAGGTGCGCCATGTCACTTTTCTGCTTGCTTGACCTGAAATAATTCTATAGCACTGCATTAAACTTATCTATCTTCATGGAGACAATCATCGGGTCAAATTGCAGGTAAGATGTGTGGAGTGACAAAACTTCTCACGGTAAGATTGTAGTTTTTCTTAGGTATTTTTCAGGACTAAAAGCAGTTAAAATTGAATAAATATAGATAAGTTGAATGGCATACTGTGGAATATTTCAAGAAAATCAGTAACATCTCCATGGAGACAAGCAGGTGGAAGAGATGTTACATGGTAAACCTTTAATGTAATCTGACAAAACATAAAATAATGAACAAAAACTAGCATTTTTAAACAATATTTTAAAAAGTGAAATCTGAAAAGAGCAGTGCAAGAAACTAGCATTTTGAAACCTTAAATATTGTTAACATCAATTTTTAGTCACTTATAGACTTATTCGGTTGGAAAACTACCAAAAACTCAAGTAAAAGTATTGTTCCTTATTAAATATAGTACTAATATATGGTGTGATTTAAAGAATACTAATTACCTTATCAACTCTGACAGCCAAAGTGGGTTATATGTCTTGCCAAAGGCCACAACAACGCTATGTACTATCAGTTGCAGTAATCTAACTATACATTTTTAGCAACTTCAATACTCTTTTTAAAACTGCAAAACAATCAAATAAGAGGTTTCAAAATGTATTCAACTATATATATTATATATTTTGAATACAAATGGTTCTATATGTATGAACTGGTTTACATGATTAGTGCCAATGTTGTAAATATGTAATCTTGTTTCTTGTGAGATAAAATAGTTGCTTTATCTTGTATTTTCTAATCACTGTGAAAAACAACCACCGGAGATTGGACCTTGGACCTATAACAGGATTTAAACTGGTCTGGGGTCAGGTTTATGTTGCATTGCATTGTGGGAAATGCGTCTGAGGAAAAGCTAACCTCCTTTGGGATCAGCAGATAACATTGTCTCTGTACTGCACACACCTTAAACTATTACTAAGATTGGGGCACAATGCACTGGGCAGTACATACAAATACACAACGGGACATACAGTACTCGAATGATAATTATTTATGAATGACACTGCAAATTTGGGGGTTGAGTAGCTTCAGATGACATAATACTTGTTTTTTGTAGTGTTAAATTTGAAATTGAACAAAAAACTTTATTTATTACATATTTATTTTATTGATACTTTGCAGTGATATCTCGGTGGGGGTGTTCTACATGCATCTCTACTGGCGGAATGTTCTGTAGTTACCATGGATACACAATTTACACATTAGCCAAAACAGACCAAAAAGTTTTAAGATCACTCAAGAACTCAAGAAAAACACAAAATGGATTTAAACAGCACACTTTCAGAACCCTGTGATCAATACGAGCGTTCACGGTTCGGTTTAAAATTTTTATTCTCAACAATGAAAGAGAAAGACGAACTGACAAACTGTTGGTTAAATAAAAACTCAGATTAAATCAAACCTGAGTAACATAGCTTCTAACAGAGCAGTGCTTTCTGTTAGCTTTACACCCCCAGGGAATGATCTTGACATCAGCTGTGAAGTATCAATTGAATAAAAGCTAATCTAAATGTATAATGCTGTACTGCGGAATGTTACAGTCAAAGCGAGCACATCTCAATTCCAAATGACACTGTAATGCATTTATCTCATGGCATCTTGTTGTTATTTAGCAGGGCTGCTAATAGACATTTCAACATGCTGCATTCCTCTCTGTTTCCAGCAGATGGCGACAGACACTTGGATTACGTTAATACAAGTTTTAAATGAATCAGTGTGTTTAACAATTAGAATTACCACTGTCTTGTATAATTTAGGTGATATAACACTTTAAAAAGAAATTAAAAGAAATTAAAAGTTTACATATAATCACTTCTACACTTTCTCTTCTCTCACCGTAGCAGCAGAAGCACCAGCCTCCTCAGCCTCTCCATCTCCTTCTCTTGCAGTTACAAAGACTTGTCAAACTTGTTTACATGTGTTACTGAGGGGTGGTGCAATAATCTGTTTTTTGTTGACTTTTTGGTTCATGTTTCTGTACAGTTACATGTAGTTTAAACAGAAAATGTTTAAATATGTATGTTGTTATACAGTTGAGGTTAAATTTAAGTATGGACCATTCATAAAAGTTGATTACTTTGTTTTGAATTGTTAATCACTATGGCAACTGTCTCAATTTTACATCACTATGGATAAAGAAAGTAGCAATTCCACTAAAAATGTCAAATATATTTAGAAAAATTATTTTAAAAGCAACTGTATCAATGCACATAGATCTGTGTAATTTATTCATTATTCCATTTCTTTATCTCTTGATATAATTGTAATTGTATTGTATTAATAGTAACGAGTTAACATACAGGGTCATTGCAATATCAAATGCTACCACCAGATGTCACTAAAACGCATACTGCACTTTCCAAAATCAGATATGAGCCAGTCTTTACAAATGTGTTTAATATTATTTTTTATATATGTATTTATTTTTTTAAGGTGTTAGTTCATTCTCAGTTGTTTTTTTTTTTGTTTTGTTTTTTTTTTTTCCATTCTTGTTTTGATACTTGCGCAAGTGTGAAAATGTGACTGATTTACAAGCTGTTCTCATTTCATTTTACTTTCACTTTGTAACAGCTAAAAGTGACCGTAGATTTGAAGTGAATTGTTATTTAAATCTGTCTTATTCTGTTAAATAAAAGTCTTGCACTGGGCAAGTATTTTTCTTTTTTTTTTTTTTTTTTTTTTTTTTTACTTACATAACTTTAAAGATGCACTGTGTAACTTTTCTGGAGGAGGGTCCAAAACCACCTTGTTTCAACAGTTATTGTTTTGCCTGGAATTATCTACAGTATGACATTAAACATATCTTAACTTACATGTATTCAGTTACAGGTAAACAAAGACCAAGCATTCTTGCGGTGAGCAGGCTTGCCTCTACTGAGATGTGACCTGTAACTTGGCTCTGCACTGTCAGGTGCTTGTCTAGTAACAGGTTAATGCCATGCTGTGGAAAATTCCAAACCAAACAATATCATGCCCATGTTACAATAAAAAAAAAAGAATAACATAATAACAAAATGTAGATTTGTTGACCTGCCTTAATATCTCTATAATTACTGGGTTTATCCACATGAGACAAAACAAGCATGCATTTGACCAAATTTTGTCTTGCCCCAGTACAGATATATTATATAAGTGCTCGTTAGCATGCTAGTTGTTGTTGCCAAGTTGTGAAAAGCGCTTGTAGCAATTACGCTGCATAGGATAATAAATGATTTAGAGTACTGTATTAACCTTTATACCGTGTTTATTTATTTATTTATTTGATTGGGACAGAGCATGTTAATGAACAAACATGGTACAACATGAATGTAAACACACTGGATTGTAACCTGAGGCTAATTTCCATCTTTTGCCCCTAAGGGCTGGGGTCACAGGGGGTCAAACAATAAAAATTGCACATTCCACTCATTACACAGTTCCCATCATTGCACAGTTCCAATTATTGCACAGTTCCCATTATTGCACTGTTCCCATTATTTCACACACCATTCATGTCACAGTTCCCATTATTGCACACTCCATTCATTGCACATTTCCCATTATTGCACACTCCCTTCATTGCACATTTCCCATAATTGCACACTCCCTTCATTGCACAGTTCCCATTATTGCACACTCCATTCATTGCACAGTTTCCATTATTACATACTCCATTCATTGCACAGTTTCCATTATTACACATTCCATTCATTGCACAGTTTCCATTATTACACACTCCATTCATTGCACAGTTTCCATTATTACACACTCCATTCATTGCAGTTCCCATCATTGCACACTCCAAAATATTACACAGTGCAGTCACTGCACAGTTCCCATTATTTTGATGTCAATTTGGCATGCAAATATGTGTCCATGGGAGATAAAATCACAATGCAGTTATACATGAGTATACATGTAATAATTGTATAATTACAAAATAATGACGCAGTGTAATGGACTGTAACCTTAAAATCCAATCCAATTCACTTTATTTCTATAGCACATTTCACAAACAAACTGTTTCCAAAGTGCTGCACAAATACATAATAATAACAATAATAAAATGATAAAATAAACTACTAAAATAATCATGCTAGTCTTAAAATAATAAAACCAGCAAAATAAAATAAGAGCAAAATCATAGCAATAAATAAATAAAACCAATAAAAATACATTTAAAATAAATTTAAATAAATAAAAAACACAGAGGACCACACAAGTCACGCGGTGTTAAAAGCCAGAGAATAAAAGTGGGTCTTAAGACGAGACTTAAAACACTCCACTGAGGCGGGCTGTTCGGACGTGGAGGAGCAGAGGGTTCCAGAACTTAGGGCCGACCACAGAGAAGGCCCTGTCCCTCCTGGTTTTAAGTCTCGTCTTAGGCACCAAAAACTGGAGCTGGCCCACGGACCTCAGAGCACACCGGGGTATAAATTTGGATGAGGTCCGAGGCGTAGTGTGGGGCCAGTCCATTTAAATCTTTAAAAATAAACAATAAAATCTTAAAATCGATATTAAATTGAACAGGAAGCCAGTGCAAAGACACAAGGATTGGGGTAATGTGCTCTCTCCTTTTGATTCCTATTAAAAGTCGAGCTGCAGAGTCTTGGATGACACTCTCATACACTCATTGGGGTGAACATTTAGGATCCTTAGAATGTAAGTCAGCAGTATAAACTGTTTTAAATGAAATATTCTCTGTTTTTCACATTTAAGACTGATAGACCTGGTTTTAGAGCATCCAGCCACAAGAGGAACACATTGTTTAACCATTTTAGCATTTGCGGTTTTCCTGTAGAGTCACACCCATAGTGTTTGGCCAATGTCCTTTTTGTCAGAAAGTCATCACATACCCTCAGTTTCGGTTTGAGACAGTTACGTTCTTAATATTGTTAGTCACTTTAATTTGACATATGACACATATTTACGCCCTTTGATAGACCAGTCAGGCTTGAATAACTGTAAAACACAATCCCGGTCAAAGGGCTTTTCTTATCTATGTTATTATGTTGTTTCTTCATTATAAACATACTTGCAGTTTTGTTCTGTTTCATACACACGTTTAACACACAAACCCTGCATATTCTCTATTGGGTTTTCAAGTTCTCTATCTTTTAAACTAGAATCATTTGGAGACTTTCAGGAATTTTACCACTACGTGACATCACAAGGTGGAAGAAAAATATTGAGCTTTGGAAATGTAGACAGAACAATTATGCAGGATTACTCAGATATGTGTCAGTGAAACAAAACACAAGTCCAAGTATGTTTTTGAAGAGGTAACAACATTCTTACATGGCTTAAAGCTCACATAAATCAAATGGATATCTGAGTTTATTCTTCTATAAACAAAAAAGTAAAATTCATATGCATTGTTTTGTTTGTTTTGCATGAATTTTACAAAACTTGATGGTATTTTCTGCCTGCCTGTGCTGGGCTAGCCATGTGCTTTTAATACTACAACATGTAGAGACCTGTTTCATTTGTGCAAGCTCCTCTCCACATTCTGCACAGAGACCAATTGTGTAACATGTGTACTGTAAAAAAGCACAAGTAAGGCAACTATTTAGAGAGGGAGAGAGAGAGAGAGAGAGAAGGAGAAGGAGCAAAAAGATATAAACTATTAAATTCTACTCAACATTACATTTAGAGCATAGCAGAAACAACACAGGTGCCAAAGTGCTGCACACATTAAACAGAACACATAAACATAAACAGTGACAGGGGAAATATTCAACTCTCTAACTGTCTAATTGAGTTAAAAGTCCAGGAGGAAATGTGAGTCTTTAGAATGGATTTAAGGAATCTGGCTGGAGACCTCCACCCAGAGGACCCAACTTGCTCCACCCAGACGACCCTCATATGATGTACCTCCATCCACAGGCCTAAGTAAAGTCTAAGTAAATGAACAGCCGTCATGCCAAAAGAGTGACAAAGTTCACCGTCTGCTGCTCACTGTAAATGTAACGTTACAAAAGTCAATATTGCTGTTTCACTGTGTCTCTGTACTTGGCCTTAACCATTACAGATTTGTGATTAATCTTAACCAGACTTAGACTTACTTAGACAGACTATTGATCTACAAGGGAAATTATTTGGGTATATATCTGTATGTACGGTTAAATGTGCGTTATGTTTGTGACAATGTTTTAATCTGTTTTAATTTCCTTATGGAAGAAGAGTAAAGCAGAGACAAAAACTTTTTTTTTCTTTACATTTAGTCTGGTACACTATACAGTTAAAGTAGGACTAAACTCTACCCATAAACACATTTCAAATAGAGCGGCTAACCTGGGCAGCAGTGTTGGGGAAGTTAAGGCTGTTTTATAGCTCTGCACCTGCTCAACGCACACGGCCGCCTTCACCTTTTGATTTATGGATCTGAGTCGAGGTCTATGCACTGCGAAGTAATTCACCACCACAACGCTAGGAGGCTAGGATTTAAAAATGGCGTTCGTGTATACAAAGTGAAACTGGAAAGTGGAGTACCGGAAATGTTGGGTCAGTCGGACTTTGTTTGGCGCGTTCACGGTGACTCTCGGTTTTGTTCAATAGTGTCGCGTAGGGAGGGTGCTGTCTGGGACCGCTGGATTGTTGGTGTGTTCGCAGTGACTCCGTTGTGGCATGAAGTGTCACATTGCACTCGCTTTTTCAATCTGTTCCTCCGTTCCATTCCTCGTCTGTGTGGAGTGATGAGTTTGTCACTGCGCGGTCGCTGTCTGCTCCGTGCCTGTTTGCGTGCGCTGCGGATCATGCGCCTTTGTATTTGTAGTTTACTGAAGTCGTGCTGGGACATCCGAGTGGATTTGTGTATAGGGCACGCTGGATTGCAGGGTGCACAGTCGTTTTTTGATGGAGTTGGAGACTTAAGAGCGCGCCTAATAGCCCGGAAAGTACGGTAGTTACCCATGTAATTATTTCCCCATTACCGTTACTTCTTAATAGCCTCGGTTTTACTTCGTTTCACTTCTGACCTTGCAGCCTTAGATTTCGTTCACTCGATGCTAGGCGGGTGCTTTTTTTCATTTAAACAATCGCTGCTATTTGGTCATGACGTATGTAATGCGCCACTAACGGGGCTAAGGTATATTAAGTTTTTCCCAAATCCCATAGGAAGAAGGGCAATAACATCTTTCCCCTTAATGAAATTCACCAAACATTCTCTTTGTTCCAGCTTTAAATTCTCTATATCGGGAATCATTGACAACACTGAGTATATCACTTTTCGCTGATTGGCTGGTGCCCAAACTCACACTTCCGGGGTTTTTGTGAACTGTCTATTGTGTTCTGATTCCTGACCTAGACGCTGGAGAGAAATGAAATTGAGCGGAGGCACTAGGTGGCACCAGCCTGGCTCACTTCTTAAACCAACCCAGGCATTTATGATCAGAAACACCAAATCAGGGCAGTCTTTTGTGATGTCACCAACTACTTGGCATTGCAGAAGCCACAGAAGGCAACACAAACTTAGTAAATAGGAATGTAGAAAGTGACGTTTTTGTGAGTCCAGGCAGAATAAAATAAACGGCAATCATCTAACGGAGAGGTAATAAAAACACTGAGTCACATTTCAAAGTTGTGACGAGATGAGAACAGTTTCACTCGAGCTCCTACAAAACACTTTTCATTTGGGCATCAAGTTCTCACAGGTGTGAAGCGCTCCTCTTCTTTCACTCTGGGGCAGTTTGCCAAAGCGAAACCACTTTACTGCATGACGTCTGAAAATGGAAGAGCGGAGACGTCCACAGGTGTGAAGGAGAGGAGAGAGGAGAGGTGCAGGGGGAGGGGGAAGATAAAACAAAAGAGAGAGGGGAGGAAGAAAGAGAGAAAGAGTGTAGAAAAAGTGGGGGAAGGTAAAATAAGAGAGGGGGGAGTAGAGATGATAGAGAGGAGGTAAAATAAAGAATTAAAGGGAGAGAGAGAGAAGAGAGGGGGCAGGTAAAATAAGGAATGGGGGGGGGGAGACGAGAGAGAGATGAAAGGGGGATAGCGAGAGAGGAGAGGTGTAGAGAAGAGGGGAGCAGGTAAAACAAGGAATTAGAGAAAGACAATGAAAGAGGGAGAGTGACAGAGCAGGTGGGTAGAGGAGAGAAGGAGGTAAAACTAGGAATTACAAGGCAAGAGAGAGGGAGAGAGAAGGATGGAGACAGATGACAGAATGAAGGGGGGAGAGAGAGAGAGATGCAGATAAAACAAGGAATTTGAGGGAGAGGAAGAAATTCAAAGAAGACTGGGGTAGAAAAAACAATGTTAAGACATGCGGAAAAAAGAGAAATCAAAGGAAAGAGAGGAAGAAAGAAAGAAGGGGTAAAAAGGGAAGGATCAGAGTACAATGTTGTGGTGTCTTAATTTACTTTGTTTGGCTGATAAGAAGAGAGAGAGGGGTGAGAGGAGAGGGTTAGAGGGATAGAGATAGAGAGAGGAAGGGAGAGAAGTGTGGAGGACAATAATAAGAGTGAAGTAGAGACAGCGAGAAACAAGAGGAGGAGAGAGAGAATAACAGACGAGGAAGGAAGGGAGAGCGCGAAGGAGGGGGGCGAGGGAGAAAGAAGGGAAAGATGAAGATGGAATAGTAAGGAAGATGAAGAAAAGGGGGGAGAGAGAGAAAGGAAAGAAAGTAAGTGGGGAGGAGAAAGAAGAAAGGGATAGAGTAGGAGGAGGACATGAGAGAAGGAGAGAGAAAAAATCAAGTAAAAAGAAAGGTAGGAGAGAGAAGAAGTGATGGAGTAGTAGGAAGAGGTGAGAGAAGGAGAGGGGGGAGTGGTAGGAGAAAGAGAAAGATGAGGAAGGAAAGAGAAGAAGGAATAGAGAAGAGAGTAAGAGCAGGTGAGAAGGAGAGAGAGAGAGGGAAGAAAAGAAGGAAGGAAAGAGTAGCAGGAGGAGAGAGAGAGGGGGAAGAGAAAAAAGGAGTGATAGAGCAGTAGGAAGAGAGATATAATGAGAGAGAGGAAGAAGGAAGGAAAAGGGAAGGAGAGAGAAGAAGCAATGGGGTGGTAGGAAGAGGTGAGAGAAGGAGAGAGAGATAGAGAGAGGGTGAGGAGAGAGAGAGTAGCAGTAGAAAGAGAAAGACAAGGAGAGAGAGAAAGAAAAGGGAAGGGAGAAGAAGGAACAGAGAAGTAAGAGCAGGTGAGAGAAGGGGAGAGAGAGAAAGAAGGAAGGAAAGAAAAGGGAAGGAAGGAGAAGAAGGAACAGAGAAGTAAGAGCAGGTGAGAGAAGGGGAGAGAGAGAAAGAAGGAAGGAAAGAAAAGGGAAGGAAGGAGAAGAAGGAACAGAGAAGTAAGAGCAGGTGAGAGAAGGGGAGAGAGAGAAAGAAGGAAGGAAGGAAAGAGTAGCAGGAGGAGAAAGAGAGAGGAGTAGGAAGAAGGATATAATGAGAGAGATAGAAAGAAAGAAGGAAAGGAAAGGGGGAGGAGAGAGAAGAAAGGACGGCGCAGTAGGAGGAGAGGACAGATAGAGAGGGAGGAGAAAAAAGGAGAGAGAGAGAGTGTAGTGACAGAGCAGTAGGAGGAGTGCGTTATGGTGCAAACAGAGCTCGGGGCTGAAGTATAAGAGCTGTGGAGGACAGACATGTGTTCACTGCTCCACACGATCATGGCTCTGAATGGGAGAGTGGCGCTGGTCACCGGAGGGGCTCAGGGCATCGGGAGAGCCGTGGTCCAGGCTCTCATGCACAACCAGGCCAAAGTGAGTACAACTGACTTTATTTGATTAAGTCAGGCTGATTCACGCGTGGTTTGAAGTCCTTTTGAAGGAGTTTGAGTAGTTTTGTGCATGTGCAAAAGCTAGGAGTAAATATCTGTTACTTCGTCTGGTCTGACTGCAGGGATCACTGGTGTTTGGAGTTTGTGCAGTGGAATTAAATATGGTTCACGCTTAAGTATTTCAATCATGACTAAAATGTGGCTGAACCAGGCTGATCAGTGTCATTAGAATTAGCACTTAGTACTAATCCTAATAGGTCAAAAGCCCAAGACCAACCCACAAGGACTAAAGCAGGACCAGAGGATAGGTTTGCACTAGATCAAAACCAGGTCAAAAGCAGGTTTAACCCAGGACTGATTTATAAGGTTTAAACCAGAACTAAGTCGCATTTGAATCAGTACTAAGATGGGTCTAGCTGGTCTAAGATGAGTCTAAACCAGGATTTAGATGGGTCTAAACCAGGTCTAACCCAAGTGTAAATCAGGACTAAGATAAGTCTAAACCAGGACTAAACCAAGACTAAACCAGATTTAACCCAGAACTAAACCTGGACTAAAATAGGTCTAATCCATGAATAAATCAGGTATAAACCAGGTCTAAACTAAGACTAACCCTAGTCTAAACCACGTCTAAACCAGGTCTGAACCAGAAGTAAACCAGGTCTAAATCAAGACTGAGATGAGTCTACACCAAACCAGGTCTAAACCAGTTCTAAACCAGGACTAAGATGAGTCTAAACCAAGACTAAACCAGGTCTAAACCAGGACTAAACCAAGTCTAATTCAGGACTAAACCAGGTCTAAACCAGAAATAAACCAGGTCTAAACCAGGACTAAACCAAGACTAAACCAGATCTAAACCAGAACTAAACTAAAACAGGTCTAATCCATGAATAAATCAGGTATAAATGAGGTCTAAACTAAGACTAACCCTAGTCTAAACCAGGTCTAAACCAGCTCTGAACCAGAACTAAACCAAGACTGAGATGAGTCTACACCAAACCAGGTCTAAACCAGTTCTAAACCAGGACTAAGATGAGTCTAAACCAAGACTAAACCAGGTTTAATCCAGGACTAAACCAAGTCCAATTCAGGACTACACCAGGTCTAAACCAGAAATAAACCAGGACTAAACCAGGCCTAAACCAAGACTAACCCTAGTCTAAACCAAGACTAAACCAGGTCTAATTCAGGACTAAACCAGGTCTAAAACAGGTCTAAACCAGGTCTAATGTGAAGCTATAGTATTTGCATCTAGCACAAGGTTTTAGTATTCAAATCAGATTATTAATATCTAGGGTAGGAAAAGGACTTCCTAGTGTACCCAACTAAACTAGGACTGATGTATACAAATGACATGTAAACTATAATGTTTTTAGTTAAAGTACATGTATGTCAATACTGAGGAGGCTCGGACCCATTTCACCACATTTCAGGTCAGGTACAGCTCATGTTTACTTAAGCCTGAATAAATTAAACTTTAACTCACTGAAAACATTGTGAGATACTGATTGACTTGGATACATAAAGATAAGGACTTATATTGAGTCATTAAGTAGTTTACATATTAAGCCCTAGGCACTAGACACAAGAATACTTTTTGTAATTGAATATTCAATACCTGCTTTAAAGGAAGTGTCTGTAAGATTTTGATTTAAATTCCATAAAAATGTCCTAACCATGTGATCAGATACCAGATAAATTTGTATGTGTCCTCTATCTGCAGTTTCGGTTGTTATTGTAGTATTTTTTATTTTTACTTTTGAAGGCCCATATTAGACTATTTTCTGATGTGTTATAATTTAGTTTCCTCATCCTCTCAGACAGAAAACACTCTGTTCCACCTTGTGATGTCATGTGGTAATACAGGAAGTGCTCCAGTGTGTTTTTAAACATTTGGATGATTTTAGCCCTGGAATTGTCTCAGGGTGGAACAGAGCATTTTGAGCAGACTAATAATAAAGTTTTACGCAAATATGAAACAAAACACATTTTAGGTATGTTTTTGAGGAAGTAACACCATTATAGCGCGGTTTAAAACTCATGAGTCAATTTTGTGCAATTATGACCTTTAAGAGGATAAGTTACTCACAGTGCCTCTAAATTGTACTTTGCAACATATTCTGATACATGGTCCAATCACTATACTTTATTCCGAATATTTAGAATACTTTCACATTTGGTCCTTGGGCCTGGTTTGAGCTCAGTTTAGTGCTGATGTACACTTACACACAATTTGTACATTATTAATGAAGTCTTTGTTAAGGCTAATTACGTTGTAATTATTACAAACAGGGAGTACTGTCTGAACAAAGAAATAAGAAACATGCCATTCATTATGCCTGTGTGGTCTGTAAACTGCAGTCTTTTATTTTGATACACTGCGCAACATTCTGTGGTTGTAGCTTCCTTTGTCAGACCACAACTTCTCTAAAAGTATACTGCAAATATCCAGTAGAAAGCAGAACCATACAAGCATGTAATATTTTAGTGCAGCGGGTAGACAGACTTGAGTAATGATGATTTTTTTGTTAGGTCTACATCTGTTTACCACTCTGTTGTGAAGGATTACTTTCACATTTTCTAGTTTTACTCTCTGATCTGAATGGTCACTACTTAAACCCCAGCACCTGCAGACACTTGCTCAGAGCTAGTGCAGTCTCTGCAGTTCAGTGAGGGAATTCTGGAGGTCTATCTATCTATCGGTCTATCTACCTATCGGTCTATCGGTCTATCTGTCTATCTGTCTATCTGTTTATCTGTCTATCTGCAGGCCTACAGCTCACGTTCAAGTGTGTCTGGCCCTTTTTAAACACATAACCTATATTTAAGGCTAATCAGAATGTTCTTGCTATGTTCTGCAGCCACTGTGTCTTCAGTAGTAGTGGTAGTAGTAGTAGTAGTAGTAGTAGTAGTAGTAGTAGTAGTAGTAGTAGTAGTAGTAGTAGTAGTAGTAGTAGTAGTAGTAGTAGGAGGAGGAGGAGTAGTAGGAGCAGCAGTAGTGCAGTAGTGGACATTGTGTCCTGTGGGGAGCAATATAATAATAGTAGTATGAATAGTAGTAGTAATTGTACTGTATTTTACAGGTAGCAGTAGTGGACATGAATGCATCCTGTGGGGAGCAGTGTAAGTCGGAGCTGGACTCTGAGTTTGGGGCCGATCACTCCATTTTTCTTCAGTGTGATGTCACTGATGCAGACGCTCTCACAGGTAAGAAGAGTCACACACTGGACATGTTTGAATGAGCTGTGTGAGGGAGTGGTGGTCATGGCACAGATGGGCAGCCATGCTTCTGTCAATCTGCCCCAGGCAGCTATGGCTAAAATAGTATCTCACCATCACCAAGTGAACGCAGTGACTTCATTGAACACACACTGAAACAGTGTATGTGTGAGTGAAAGAATACCTGGTTGTTTGACAGGAGTTGGCTGAGGTCTGTATTCTTGAGTAACAAGTCTGAACTTCCTGCTGTACAGGAGAAAATCGTCACAGTCCAAGTATTTTCCTAGAGACATAATTTAATGAGAGTGAGTCCGGTCAAACTAGATCTTTCTGTTTTATTCAGTTCCAGCGTTACAGGTATCTGTAACACCAGGAAACAACTACTGTAATGATTGTTTATCATCCAGTAGCTCAGGGCCCATAACCTGATATCCTAATATGTTTTGGTTTGATTCCAGCTTTGACCTGAACATTTAAAGAAGCACTATGTAACTATGCAGCAGGTGGAGGTTCTGCCACCTGCTTGTCTCCATGGAGATACTATAGTTTTACTTGTAATATTCAGTATGTCATTAAGCATTAGTCTTCTTTGGAAGACAAGCAGGTAATGATCTGTGGTGACGGGAGACTGCTCACAGTAAGAGTGAATGTTTTTCTATGTGTTTTTGAGCCAGTAAAAACATAAGCAATTAAATCAATGCAACACAGATATGTTGTACTGTGGAACATTCCAAACTAAACAGGTCATATGATCTGGTATTCAGTGCTTTTGACCTGGTTTTGCACATTTTGTTTATAGTCTCTCTGACCATCACACACATACCTATGCCTGGAATGTTCCACAGTGTGGCATTAAACTCATTTATCTCCATAGAGAAAACTGGGTGGGTAGTTATGTGTCAGATCTGTGGAAAGATTAGACTGCTCACAAAATAAGCAGTCTCAACTGCTCAAGATAATTTTGGACAATAAAAACACCACACTGGATACATATAATAGTTTGATGCCACATTGTGGAGCAATTCGGGAAAAGTAATGAGTTTTCATCAGAAAAGTGTCGTAGTGCAGCTTTAATTGTCTTTATGACACACCCAGTGTGTAATGACACTTGATAAAAGGAGTGTTGTGAGTCCTTTGTGTGCTCACTCTGAACAAACCACAGGGGTCTGGCTCAGGTTTGGTTTTGTGCATTTGTTCTTTAAAGTGTTTAAATTTGAACAAGGGCTCACTGTGTAAAGTGAGACTGAAGCACGAGGCAGAGCGCTGGAATGTGACTGCTCAGAGACAGTGCAGTTAAAAATTATAGAGATACAAGATAAGTAGGGCCATTTCAAGTGGGTTTAATATTAAATTGTCAAGCATTTCTTGATTTGGTGAGATGGTACCTGTGGGAAATATTTATCATAGTTTTACATCTGTTAAGAGGAGGTTTGTGAAAAAAAAGTTGAGAAGAAAAGTACAAAAATACAGGGAGTTTTAATACTTTTACCTCATCAACACTGAACATTCTGTCCAAAATGCAGAGACAATTTACACACAAGGAAGGCATTTATGTGTCAGTTTAAATATTCATGTAATATTTGTTTTCAAGTTTTAGTGAAAAGAAAAGACTAACCTGTCTTATGCACTTAAATCACCTACAGTGATGAAAGAATCAGGAAATGGGGAGTCTGTGTATATTTTTGTAATAGTATTGTGAGGGTGGGGTTAAATAGTTGTTTTCTTTCTCCCACTCTTCAGAAATATTATAAGGAGAGAGAATCAGTCAGGGACACTCAAAACAAATATGGCTGCTTACGAGGAAAGAAGAAAAGACAGATGCCCAATGAGCTTCTTAACATGTATCAATGAAATACAAACCTGATTGGAGGACCGTGTGTGCCTGGCTGACCAAAATCCTGGCTCAGATCTGAACAGGTTTAACTCAGATGAAATATGGGTCAAATGCAGAGGACATATCAAAATGTAGAAAAGTAGAGCAGCTTACTTAAATCATTTTTTTGAGCTTTCTACCATGTTATAACTTTTTCTTTTTTAATTTATTTATCTTTTTTATTTATTTGTTTTTTTTACAGTGGCCTTCCAGACAACAGTGGACCAGTTCGGACATTTAGACATAGTCATAAACAACGCAGGGATCAACAACGAGAAGCACTGGGAGAAGACCATTCAAGTCAATCTGGTTAGTTAAAAAATGGAACAGAACTGAACCAGGTCTAAACCCGGTCTGGACTAGGACTAAACTAGGACTAAAATAAGACTTGTGTGGGAACGGCCCGGAAACCTTGAACCTCAAATGTTGATAATAGTAGGCACTGTAGTGATAGTAGTAATTCACAGAAGCAGTATTAGTATTATTATTTGTAGTAGTAGTAGTCGTAGTAGTAGTAGCAGTAGCAGCAGCAGCAGTAGTAGTAGTAGTAGTTTTTGTTGTTGTTGTTGTTGCTGTTGTAGTACTAATAGTAGCAGCAGCAGTATTATTAGTAGTGGTTTTTGTTGTTGTAGTAGTTGGTGGTGGTGTAGTAGTAATAGTATTAGTAGCAGTAGTAGCAGTAGAAGTAGACCACGGCTCCTAGCTACACATACCTGAGTACTTTCTTGTTTTGACTGAACTCACCCATTCGTTATGTTATGTCACACTCAGATCAGATTACTGTGAGTCCGAATTACTGATAGTACTACTTCTACTTCTGCAATTACCAACACTAGAACTACATGCCACTACTTATTAGTTACTACTTCTGTACAACACACATCACAACAACTGCAACTACTAAAACTACTGCTGTTACTACTACTAAATCCTGATCAGAATCTTCACTGAACCAGATTTAGACTCTTTGGTGTAGAGTGACACTGTGGAATGAATTGTGCAGTAGTAGTAGCAGTAATCAGACTATACAACTACAGTACAAATGTAAAGTGTATTTGTGGTTCATTTCATTCAGTTTCATTAGTCATAGGTCTCAAAGCAGTTAAGTGTTTTGTAATAGTTTTAGGCCCGTAGGCACAAGGGCAGGGCTGGAGTCAAACACATTTCACATGTTTAAAGCCAGTGTCAGAGGAGATAAACTAGGTTCAATTAGGTTCAAACCACTGCTACTACTCAGGGTACTACTACTATTACTGCTGCTGCTGCTACTACCACTAGTACTACTACTATTACTACTACTCCTCTTACTGCTGCTGCTACTACTACTATACTACTACTACTACTGCTGCTGCTGCTGCTACTACTAGTACTACTACTCCTACTACTATTACTGCTGCTGCTGCTACTACTACTGCTGCTGCTACTACTACTACTACTACTATTACTGCTGCTGCTGCTACTCCTACTACTATTACTGCTGCTGCTGCTACTACTACTGCTGCTGCTACTACTACTACTACTACTACTACTACTACTACTAGTACTATTACTATTACTACTACTATTACTGCTGCTGCTGCTACTACCACTAGTACTACTACTATTACTACTACTCCTTTTACTGCTGCTGCTTCTACTACTATACTACTACTATTACTGCTGCTACTCCTACTATTACTGCTGCTGCTGCTACTACTACTACTTTTACTGCTGCTGCTGCTACTACTACTGCTGCTACTACTACTACTACTAATACTACTACTACTACTACTACTACTACTAGTACTATTACTATTACTACTACAATTACTGCTGCTGCTGCTACTCCTACTACTATTACTGCTGCTGCTACTCCTACTACTATTACTGCTGCTGCTGCTACTACTACTGCTACTACTACTGCTGCTGCTACTACTACTACTACTACTACTACTACTACTACTACTACTACTACTACTACTACTACTACTATTACTATTACTACTACTATTACTGCTGCTGCTGCTACTACCACTAGTACTACTACTATTACTACTACTCCTTTTACTGCTGCTGCTTCTACTACTATACTACTACTATTACTGCTGCTACTCCTACTACTATTACTGCTGCTGCTGCTACTACTACTACTATTACTACTACTACTACTACTACTACTACTACTACTACTACTACTACTGTGGTTGCATTACAGCTGTTGTTGCCAATATTATTACTTGTGGTGAGGCTGATGCTACAGCTACTCCTAGTATTACGACCACGACAACGATGACGATGACAACAACAACGACTACTCCCAATATCACCAATACTACTGCTGCAATACAAACCACTGCTGCTACTAATAATACTGGTACTGCCTATTACTGATTCTGCTACTACTACTACGTCAAGTGCTACTGTTACCAATACTACTCCTCCCATACTCATTTTGAGGAAGCAGTTGGCTGGTTTTCTTCCTGTTTACGTAGGTGTATTGAGTCTCAGAACATGCCCACGAGACACACACAGGTTAATTACAGATTATAAAAAGCTGCTGATGTCACTGTGTTCTGTGAGCCTATATCAGGTCCGGACATGTTGCATACAGAACAGCACACTTCCTGTTTATCTAAGGCATGCTTCACTGCAAAAAACTAATGTATGTTCAAATAGAATAGACCAAGTTTAATCTAGGACTGCATTAAAACTAAATGAGGTATGGGTCAAAGTCAGGGCCATACAGTCTTAAAATTATCCAATCTTTTTCTTGGAAGCAAAGCAGGGTTGGGCTTTGTTAGTACTAGTGCAGACTGCAGACTGTTATTGTTTGTCATTGAGCAAAACATTTGACCTACTTTGCCCATATGAACTTGGTGTGTGAGTGAAACATTATCTGGCTATTTTCTGACTTATTTTATAATGTTGTTTGCTCATCAGAAACATACCTATATTCATATTTGGCGAGGTAACAACATTCTAACTTAAAGCTTAAAGCTATAGGAAATTTAATTGCTACATTTTTGGTATTAAAAGGTGCACTATGTAACTTTTCTGATGGAGGGTCCACTTGATTGTCTCCATGGAAATGTTAACATATATATACATAAATAGCCTTTTCCCATAGCTTTAAATAAACAAACAAGATCTTTCTATTTTCCACAGACGTCAGTAATAAAAGGAACTTACCTGGGGCTGGAGCACATGAGCAAAGAGTACGGCAAAGCAGGAGGCAGCATCATCAATGTTTCCTCTATGGCAGGTAACATAAATATATATATATGTGTGTGTGTGTGTGTGTGTGTGTGTGTGTGTGTGTGTGTGTGTGTGTGTGTATATATATATATATATATATATATATATACATTTTTTTTATTTTTATATATATATATAAAAATGTGTTTCTCACCTTCCACGGTGGTAGGTCTCTCTCACCCTCATTCAGCTCGGGTCCTCTACCAGAGGCCTGGGAGCTTGAGGGTTCTGCGCAGTATCTTTGCTGTTCCCAGTACTGCACTTTTCTGGACTGAGATGTCCGTTGTTTTTTCCCGGTATCTGTTGTAGCCACTCTTCCAGTTTGGGGGTTACAGCCCCGAGTGCTCCGATCACCACAGGCACCACTGATGCCTTTACTTTCCAGGCTCTCTCCAGCTCTTCCTTGAGCCCCTGGTATTTCTCTAGCTTCTCGTGTATGTATATATATATATATATATATATATATATATATATATATATATATATATATATATATATATATATATATATATATATATATGTTAACATTTTCATACTCCATAGATCAGACCTGTAACTTGATCTGGTGGCGTCACCTGCTTGTCTGCATGGAGAGTTTACATAGTTCACCTTTATCTTGAAGAAGAAATATATATATAAATTAGAGCCCGACCGATATATCGGTTGGTCGATGTTATCGGCCGATGTGTTTGCCGATATGGGCCGATATTTCCTGTGGGCATGTTATACCTTATTATAAAGCGTAGACTCTCTACATTATGTTCATTTAATCCAATTTACAGTCAGATAAATGTTCTAATATGTGGCTCCACATCAGTATTTATCTGCGGAGTCATTTGTCTGTGTGTGTGTCGTACTGTCCCTGAACACACCCCCAGAGTGACGTCACTCACGTGCTTTTGTTTACACCCACAGACACAGATCCAAACACTGAGATTATATTCTTTTTACGGACAATCGGTTTGAGTCTGGATTAAAAGGACATTTATTAGTGCAGACTTGTGATGTGAGGAGGAGCCTGTGTGAGCGGTGAAATGTGTCGACTTTGAATCTACTTTTGTTTTTTCTCATTAGTTAGCTATTAGCTGCTGTAGCTCCCACACATAAAGAGGCAGTTTTTTCTTCTATTGGTCTATTGTAAAGTGACTATATTGGCCGTATATTTGTTACTGGACCTGCACTGATATGTAAATGAGCTGTGAATAGACGTGTGAATTATGATACTTGCGCATATAATTAATTACTGCGGCGCACACGTATTTATGGCTAAAGGCTAATAGTGGTAGTTTCTTTACAAGCTAGTAGTGATGGGTCGGTCGCGAACGAAACGGCTTTTAGAGCCGGCTCCTTATTGGGAGCCGTGTTTTCTCTTTCTCTCACTTTTTTTCTCTTTACGCCACGTGCTGACTCGTGGTAGTTTGACAGCAGCAGCGGCTGAAAACAAAACTTTCAGAATTATGCCTATGCATAGGATAGAAAAAATGTGCATGTTTGTCTGTAGTTCAGCATAAAATAAATAAACCAGGACTAATCTTGGGCTTGAGAGAGGGAGAAGAGATAAAGACCGAGTCCCGACACTCAGTCCTGGTTCAGTTCTGGTTTAGTCCTGCTTGCAGCAAAACAATCTGAATAGTCGCTTGGGACCCAAAAGAGCCAGCTGCTTTTAGTGAGCCAAGCCAAAAGGGCCAGGTCTCTGAAAAGAACTGGAATCCCCATCACTAGTAGCTAGAATGTGATGCAAAAATTCCATTAGGCCGAACTTCTGTCTGTAAATATGACTTAAAAAGGCAGAATAACAATAAATGTTACTTAAATAAACCCAATTTAAAATCCACCAGAGCCAAAGCTAAGTTTTTAAACAATTCAAGATTTACAGTGAATTTTACATTACTAAATATATCGGCTATTGGCAGTTCCAACTCCCATTATATCGGTTTCATATCGGCCACAACAAAATCCATTTCGGTCGGGCTCTAACATATATATAAATATATATATATATAACACCATAATGTGTCCTCTATGACAGGTATCATACATATAAGTTCATAATGTATCATATGGTATGTAACACTTAACCTGGTTCACCCCAGACTGACATGTGTCGCTAATGACTGACTGCATGTGCTGGTGTTTAGTGACCATTCAGATCAGAGAGAGTTTAAGCCAACTGGATTTCAGAATGGAAATTGCTGAAGATGACCAAAAGTTGGAGGTGTTTGACCTTCGTGACGTTGGTATAAACTGGAGCATAATCCTCCTGTTGTCATAGTGACACTGTTATATGCAGGAGACAGGACGTTCTGAACACAAATGCCTTGCCCATAATTAGGGGGGTAGGTGAAAGGTTTACTGTGTGTCAGATGCAGACTTACTCTATATCATATGAATCATCAAAATACAACTGTGAGTAACCTGATGATGAGGGAGCACTATTACATAATGGTTCAAATAAAAGTGGATTTTACAGAATATTTCATAAATTTGATCTTAATATAATGCTTGTTAACTAATAATTCCAATAGGCTGTAGTCACGCTTACCAGGAGACGTATGGAAACATGCAGATGACAACTTCCTGTGTAGTTTCAAACCAAAAACATCCAAAGATGCAGCTGGCCTAGACATGAATCTAATCAAGAATACAATAGAGCTCATAGCAGATCCACTGACACATATATGTAATCAGTCATTTAAAATGGGCAAATTTCCAGATAAAATGAAAATAGCAAGAGTGTTTCCAGTATACAAAAATGGGGGAAAAAAAATATTTTCAAACTATAGACCAATTTCAATACTCTCTCAATTCTCAAAAATAATAGAAAAAATATTTGTTCATCGATTAGATAAATTCATAGAAAAATATGAGCTCTTAAGTGACCATCAATATGGATTCAGGAAAAATCGTTCCACCTCAATGGCTGTTATGGAATTGGTAGAAAATTTATCTACAGCAATTGATTCAAAGAAATAAAGTGTGTGTATCTTTATTGACCTTAAGAAGGCTTTTGATACCCTCGATCATAATATATTATTGCAAAAATTAGAAAGATATGGACTGCGAGGACCTGTGCATGCCTGGCTACAAAGCTCTCTACAAAACCGATACCAGTATGTTGAAATAAATAATGAAAAATCTGTATTGTTGGAAATTGTGGAATTCCACAGGGCTCAACGCTTGGGCCAAAACTATTTATTATGTATATAAATGATTTATGTTCGGCATCAAAAATGTTCAATTATGTGCTCTTCGCAGATGATACCAGCCTCTACTGCTCAGGTGAAGACCAAAGGCAGCTTTTTCAAATGGTGGAGAGGGAGCTGCAGAAAATTTAAGTTTGGTTTGATATTAATAAATTATCGCTAAACATAGAAAAAACTAAATTTATGATATTTGCAAAGCGAAAAGTACAAAATCATGTACAAATTATGCTCAATAATACACCACTAGAAAGAGTCTTTCAAAATACATTTTTAGGAGTAACTATAGATCATAATTTAAACTGGAAATCACACATAAATACAATTAGGAACAAATTATCCAAAGTGATCGCAATTCTATATAAATATAGATATACCCTAGATAAAAACAGTCTTTTTATCATATATAACTCGCTAGTAATGCCCTACATAACCTACGGTATTGAGATTTGGGGCAATACATATAAGACGAATACAAAGCCAGTCTTTACCCTGCAAAAAAAAGCAATAAGAGCAATCACATTAACAACTTATAACGAACCAACCAATGCATTATTTATAAACCTTCAAACGCTGAAATTTTATGATTTAGTCGACCTTTACACTCTTAAAATCATGTTCAAAGTAAACAACAATCTCCTGTCGAAATCGTTACAGAACATGTTCAAAATCCGAAAGAGCCAATATGAGCTCAGAGGCACGACCATGTTTATTAAAAAGAAAATCAGAACAAACATTATGAAATTTTGTATATCTGTTAAAGGGGTGGAGCTCTGGAACAACTGTACAGAAAACCTAAAATTGTGCACCACTCTCTTTCACTTCATAAAGAAGTTTAAATGTTTAACTCTGGACAGATACATGAAATATGAGACTTAGTTTGTGCTGTAGTACTTTGTTGTACTGTTAATGATTAGCTTGTTTCTTCCTGCTGTATTTTTGAAGATGAACTGGTGTCAAGATGACGCTCTGACAAAGGAATAAAGGGTAGGCATAATAACCTTAAGCTTCAGCCTGCACCTTTTCGGTCTGTATATGTTAAATATGACTGTTTATGAATTAATGTCAAAATATACCTGTGACCGAAATAAATAAATAAATAAAATAAAAATAAATAGTTGCCGACACTGGGCATGTGATAAAATCGTGGATTCAGCAGCAGCGTCACAACCTGCCAAAGCTTTCCATGAGGGACGGGCTCTAATCGCATCAAAGTCACTCACAGGCAGCTGGTTGTGACTGTTGATCTACATATCAACATAACAGAATGCTACATTGACATCTTTTTTTAAATTATTATTAAGTTAGACAAATTATAATACACAGATTAATAGGTAGGAAGAAAAAAGGAAGTTGTCATCCGCATGTTTCGAAATGTCTTCCATGTTTGTGATGTAAGCATGAATAGAGCCTGTTATGGCCAAAATACTAAACCCACTTTGTTTTTTGTTTTTTTGTTTGTTTGGGTTTTTTTTTGCTATCAGGCTGGTGTTTTTAACAACATTATCCCCTGTTCATATTAACCTTTTTGGCAATTTGAGTGCAAACTAGATAAATGTGCAGATCTCAATCTAAGTGTGTGCTGCTTTCAGTAAAGTCTGCAATTTCCAGTAGTTGGTGATATCAAAAAGACTGCCCTGATTACAGCCTGGTGTTTCTGATTCCAAACAGAGCTTCAATTAAAGCAAAATGTATTTTTTGTGGTAGAGTTCCTCCTGCACCTCCCTTATGAGAATGCAGACTCAAAAAATTTCCCAAGAGAACTTTCTTCGGGCTGTGTCGGCCATATTGCAAGGCTGGTTTTCCACACAGCGACAACACACACTTCAAACAACATATATAACATATTTAATCATCACAGGAACTTAATGTCTCATAATGTACTTCTGTTTTAGTTGATTAGTGCACTCACAAAGCCTCGTGAGGTTTTCTGCAGCTCTCCCACAGCTAGCCCGTGCTTTCAGCCTCAGAGTTGAAGGAAATGCAGTGTTTTTACAGTGATAACATCAGTCTATAGCTCTGTTCACATAACAAACAGGGCCTGTCCAAACTTGGTCACACACACCAGCCTGGAATGTATGTGGACTTCTAAACACTACACGCAAATACTGTCAGAGACTTATGCACCTATTATATTTAATTGATTTTTTTAAATTGTCCCCCTTCAGAACTGTACCTGCAGTTGTATTTACACCTGCTTCATGAATCCATTCATCCAAAGTCGTCTTCTCTGAGCTCTCTGTTTAGATGTACCACAGATAAAACTCCAAACTTTTTAATCACTGAATTAGTGTAGCATAGTATTCACCGGTATAAAGACTTTAAATGTTTATTCTCATTACTGACAGCAGAGGGAGCTCCAATAACATTTACATGATCTTTTTAAAGCGGAATAAATTTTTGTTCCGAATTAAATTATTTTTAATCGGAATTAAAGCTCTCATGTAAATGCCTCATTGGAAACAGAGGTGTAGTTTATAAAAGATACCAAAAGCAGACATTATTTTAAGTTAGAAAATTACTTTTCAAGGTGGATAAAAGCTTAATTAAAAGTGACTTAATACCTCAAGAATGCATAATATGTGTTATCTGAGCACAGTCACTCACTGTCACAGATTGTTAAGGACTTTAGGGCACAAAGGTTGTGCTCATGTTCTAGAAGCAGCACATTTCTATAAAACTGAGAACTGTGTGTTGTGAGATCAATTATTGTGTAATAACGATATTTTTGTGATATATTGTGCAGCTCTGTTGCATAGTCACTATAAAAATGGTCCATGTGCAAGTGATTGATGGTTCAAAACTCACCTAATCCAACTGAAATATGAAACTAATTGTCATGGGGAAAAAAATGTGGCTTAAAAAAATGTGCTACGTATTGTCAGAGGAGAAACTTGAGCTCAGGATGTGGTAAAGTGGATCAGAGAAGTAGTAAAGTGTATGCATTATGCAGACACAGAATGACACTAGCATTACTAACACAGTACAGATGTGTCTCAGTGTATGTGATCAGTTTGACAAGAGTTTTGGGACTGTGACCAATTGAGAATTGATGAAACATAAAAATGACGAGGTCATTGTGCTGAGGTCATCTGAGGACATACGTCATATTAAAAACACACGTCCAAGTTTATTTATAAAATTAAAATAAATCTATTTCTCTCAACAATGTGATCTAAATGTTAAGAATAAATAGGTTGCATCTGCTTGGCATCACAGCATTAAAAATCCCTATAGACAAGTTAGAATTCTATGAGGGAATTTACTGTTTAAGAGAGAGAGATACTTTATTAATCCCGAGGGAAATTCAAGTCCTTACCACTTCTTAGCTGGTTAAAATCCCATTATATGATGTTAAAACCTGTGTCTGATTAACTGTCGGATTACAAATTTGTTGACCTGGTTTATGGTTAATATCTTTGTAATTATTGGGCCTTTCTACATGAAACAAAAAGTGACACAGTTCTGCATCTTTTCTATCAGTATAAATAAAGAAAAGTGATTTTTTATTTTTTTTTCCCCATGATTGCTTCAGAAAGTGATATCATGCTTTGAAGGGGGAGCGATTTAGCAAGGAGAGCAACAAGAGCATGTTTCTGTAATCTCTCAATCCATAGTAAAGAAGATAATTCTGTCAACGTTTTTGATCAAAGACATTTCAAAGATGAATTGTAAATAAGAGAGAGGTGATGTCTGAGCCCCACATTTCTGTTCATATTGTCTTTCCTAAGAAAAATAACATCTTTCCTCAAACCATTTCTTTTTTCTGGCTAAGATGTGTACTATCCTCAAAGGACTAATAATAACAATAATATAACTTATTCTGTAATATATAATCATTTACCAAAAGAGAGTGGAAATATTTCTGGAGAAAGTCCCTAGTAAATATTGGTAGGGTCCAACATCCTTGGATTTTTGGCTTTTAAAATATGATTTGTATGTTTTTCCTTAGCGTTCCTGCACTCTCCACATCAGCCCGTTTACACCGCCACCAAACATGGAGTCATAGGCTTCTCCAGAGCCATGGCCGTAAGTCTCCAGTACAACACACTCTGGAGTTATGCTTCTGAAATATGCTCTTTTCTGTCTGCTTTAGTTTATTTAATCTGAACTTTTCCATATACACAAGGTTTTGAGTACATTTTAAACTTGTGCCTGTACTTGTATTACATGTAATTCTAGCCATGATATTGCTAGTTACATTTTAAGTAGGATTGTCAGAAGTATCAAAAATCACATCCTACTCGAGATTGAGTGCATTATTAAGATTGGAACTGTACTTTCACTTGAGAACAAATTTTAAGTACTTTTTCCTCCACCAAGAACTCTCCTTGTCTCCTCTTTCTTTGCGTCCTCTCCCCTTGTCTTCTTTCTCCTTGTCTCCTCTTTCCTTGCACCCTCTCTCTTTGCTTCCTCTCTCCTTGTCTCCTCTCTCCTTGTTTCCACTCCCCTTGTCTCCCCTCTCTTTGTCTCCTCTCCTTGTTTCCTCTCTACTTGCACCCTCTCCCCTTGTTTCCTCTCTACTTGCATCCTCTCCCCTTGTCTCCCCTCTCGTCGTCTCCTCTCTCCATGTCTCCTCTCTCCTTGTCTCCTCTCCCCTTGTCTCCCCTCTCATTGTCTCCTCTCTCCTTGCTTCCTCTCACCATGTTTCCTCTCTCCTTGTCTCCTCTCTACTTGCACCCTTTCTCCTTGTCTCTTCTCCCCTTGTCTCCCCTCTCCATGTCTTCTCTCTCCTTGCACCTTCTCCTCTTGTCTCCCCTCTCCTTGTCTTTTCTCTCCTTGGCTCTACTCTCCTTGTCTCCGTTCTCCTTGTCTCTTCTATCCTTGGCTTTGCCTTCCTTGCCTCCTTTCTCCTTGTCTCCCCTCTCCTTGTTTACAGTCTCCTTGTCTCCTCTCTCCTTGTTTCCTCTCTCCTTGTCTCTTCTCTGTTTGTCTCTCCTCTCCTTGCTTCCTCTCTCTTTATCTCCTCCTTGTCTCTCCTCGTTTCCTCTCTCCTTGTCTCCTAACTCCTTGTCTCCTTTCTCTCTAGGATGCCTCCTCATTAGGGGACTATGGCGTGCGCATAAACGTGCTGTGTCCAGCCTTTGTAGACACTCCTCTTCTTCATTCAGTGGAGCATGAGGATAACATGGGAAAGTTCGTCAAGTTTAAAGATGATTTCAAGAAAAGTATGAATCATTTTGGAGTCTTAAAGTGAGTATTTAAAGTACTGTTACTACTACTACTACACAGAATATACAGAAGTCTACAAGCAAATCAAATACAGTTATAGTGCATTCATAAACCAAGTCTAAACAAAAACTAAAGCCGAACTAAACCAGGACCAGGAGTGAATTAGAAAAAAACATGAGATTAAAGCAGGACTAGACCAGGACTATCCATTGGCTGCTCCAAAGAACTTGCCTCACACACTCAGCCTGGACTAAACCAGGTCTAAACCAGGGCTAAACCAGGGATAAACCAGGACTAAACAAGGACTAAACAAGGTCTAAACAAGGACTAAACCAGGACTAACCTAGGACTAACCCAGGATTAAACCAGCACTCAACCAGTACTGGACCAGGACTAAACAAGGACTCAACATTATCAGGTCTATGATGGTCTCACAAAGAACCAAAACAGAATCTAAAGGTATGTAAGGTCTGTAAGCCAGGATCAAACCAGGACTGGACCAAGACTAAACAAGGACTGAACCAGGACTAAACCAGGACTGAACCAGGACTTAACCAGGACTAAACCAGGACTAAACCAGGACTAAACCAGGACTAAAAACAAGGACTGAACTAGGGCTAAACCAGGACTAAACCAGGACTTAACCAGGACTAAACCAGGGCTAAACCAGGGATAAACCAGGACTAAACAAGGACTAAACAAGGTCTAAACAAGGACTAAACCAGGACTAACCCAGGACTAACCCAGGATTAAACCAGCACTCAACCAGTACTGGACCAGGACTAAACAAGGACTCAACCAGGACTGAGTCAGGACAAAGCAAGAATTAAAACAGAGTAGAAAAACAAGAATTGCTGCATCCACTTTGGCATGACGTAACTGAGGCTGGATCTTGTTTCTTTGTCAATAAACAAATATTCAAATTTGTTCTTTTCAGGCAAATGCGGTTTTTGACTTGTTTTTTTTTCTCCAGAGAAAATGTGGAAATCATCAAACCATACGTAAACTTTGACGTGTTTGTGTTTATGAGGAGAGGCCAATCAAGTCCAGTTTAAACTTGAATTAGAAGACTGGAGGGGAGGGAGGAAGGGAGGGAGATAAGGAGAGAGAAAGATGAGGAGAGAAGGGGTGGGAGATAGATAGGGAGAGAGAGGAGAAGAGCCTGAGAAAGAGGGGGTCACAGGAAGTGGTTAAATGCAAAATGGGGTGAAGTGAGGGGAGTCGAATCAAGTCCTGTTTAAACCAATTTTATAAGAGAAAGAGAAAGAGACTATGCCTGGTCATTCTATCCATGGCTTTCAGAGTGATGTAAAACACAGTTGCCATGACAGTTAACAAATTCAAAACTATCTCTCTTTTGAATGTGAAAGTTCTCAAAATAAATAGGCAACTAGATCTAGGTTCGATGTAAACCAAGCAAAAAAACAAGCCATTTCTTCAAACACATTTTCAAACACAACATATTTATATAATTGTTATTTTGCTTTTGTGTTTTTGTCTCCAGACCTTCGCTGATCGCAGAAGGTATGATGAGGCTGATCACGGACGACTCTCTCCACGGAGCTGTCATGAAGATAACCTGCTCCAAAGGAATCCACTTCCACACATATGAACCCATGTCCACCTGAGACCAGGACTAGACCAGGATGAGACCAGGACTGAACCAGGACCAGACCAGAACTGAACTGAACCATTGCTTGCCTGGGACTAGACTGGAGCTAAACAGGACTGAGCCAGCAGGACTAGACTAGGACTAAACAAAGACTAGCAGGACTAGATCAGGTCTAAAGCGGGACTAGACCAGGACTAAAGCAGGACTAATCCGAGACTAGACCAGAACTAGATTGGGACTGAACTAGGACTGCACCAAGGGCATCAACGTCTACATATACAAGCCCATGTCCACCTGAAACCGGACAAGACCAGAACTAAACCAGGACTAAAATGGGACCAGACCAGGACTAGACCAATACTTGACCAGGACTAAAACAAATCAGAATAAATAGGGCCAGACAAGGTGTCAAACGGGACTTAATCTGGACCAAACAAGTGCCACAACATCAGGGAAAAATGAGGGACCAACCAGAAGCAAACCAGGACTAAAGGTCTGGACCTATACCGCCCCCTTCAGGTCTGATTTTAGAACCATTCCAGGTATATACTTTCAAATTAATCAACCAAAAAATATAATTAGGATTTAAAATGCAGATCTGAAGGGCTCTATAGTTCAGTTCTACCAGTCTCTGTGGTCAAGATGTGAAACTTGCACATTTGTAGCCGTTTAAAGAAGCATTATGTCACTTTTCTCTTGTAGGGTCTGTCACCTGTTTGTCTTTACGCATTTATGTTATTTCTTTGTCTTGAATGTTTCACAGTATGGCATTAAATCTTATCATTCTTTGGCTATTTTTACTGTAAGACTTTTAAATGTGTAAGACATGTATTCTTGTAAGTGGGCTTGCTTTTCCACAAATCTGACCTGTAACTTGCCTGGTAGCATCTTTTGCTTGTCTCCATGGAAATAGATATATTTAATGCCATACTGTGAAACATTACAAGCAAAGCAATAACACCTCGATAGTACCTCCACCAGAAAAGTTGCACAGTGGAGCTTTAAAGTCGTACTACATGTTTAAATAGAGAAATGTAAATGTTACGGTTTGGGGATGCGGGGAAGATTATTTATCAAATGTAGCAATTTATATATGAATAAAATGTGTTTTTGATAAATACTTGTGTTCTTTGTTCTTTTTTTTTTATATTTGGGGAATTTTTTTGCATTTCTCCCTCCCTCGTTTTCATTCTCTGCCATCAATCTCTCGCTCTGTTTACTTTAGTTCAGTTGGTTGTTCGTCTTAATCAGCGGATCGAATTCCACTCTTGACATGAACTGGTTGAGGTCCATCTGCCCACAGTTTGATGGTGCAGTCCCACAGATGAATGCTGTTGTTGTGTCCTTGGGCAAGGCACTTAACCCACCTCGCCCCCAGTGTCTGCATACACTGATGTATAAAGTGCGTGTGTGAATGGGTGAGTGGTTTTTTGACGCTTTGAGTGCCTTGAAGGTGGAAAAGCACCGTATAAAACTGTGACCATTTCCATCCTCCCTCTTTATTTTCTCTCTCTTCTCCCTCCTTCCCTCCTGTCTTCTGTAATGATTGTCTTCTGTTACACCTGGTCCTGGAAGGATTGAGGATTGTGTGTCTGCGTCTGTGTGTCTGTCCACCCGCGATAATTCCGCCATTTATCGATCAATTGTCACCAAATCACAGGTACGTGGGTCAAGCCCCCTTGCCCGATGTCGCAAAAAAAAGTTTGGTGACAATCCGAGGACATTTGAGGTCACACGGGTCAATTGAAAGGTCATGCCATTATGAAGGGTAGGCAATTTCGGCAATTTCTGGACCATCCGCGAAGGATCGAGCTAGAGCAACGGGAGTGGTCTCAAAAACTCTGAAAAATTATTATCTATAATTCTATGCATTTGCATAGTAAAATATTAATAGTTTTTGAGATAATCACTAATTATAACAGTTCCTTTCTCTTTCAGTGTATGCTGTTAAAATTCTAATTGGAACAAAAATAATTTCCATTTCTTCTTTTTGTGGTGACACACAACACATTGATCTACAGCCACACAACTACCATATACGCAACTCATGAAAAATGCCATTTTTGTTACACATTAGTAAACACAGATATTCTCATGTGTGACCAATATCAAATGTTCATGGGCACTGTACAGATACACACATTGCACTGTGGATGTAACGATCATGTAATATGGGCTGGGCTCCTCATGAAACATCAAACTGAATTTTCTCCTCGCCATGGATTCTACCTGAACGACTGAGGGATTCTTCACATATCTTGAGTACAATGATGTATAAAGTGCGTGTGTGAATGGGTGAGTGGTTTTTGGACACTTTGAGTGCCTTGAAGGTGGAAAAGCACTGTATAAAAATGTGACCATTTCCATCCTCTCCCTTTTTTCCTCTCTCTCTCTTCTTCCTCCTTCCCTCCTGTCTCCTGTAATGATTGTCTAGTGTTTGTTCATGTGGTTGTATTTAATTTCTCAATGTTCTACTTTGAGCTTTTTGCACATTTTTCCAGTGTGGAAAAATGGACTCTGTCCATTTCCTCCTCTCTTTCTTTCTCTCTCTCTTTTCATTTATTTTTCTCTCCCTGCTCATCTATCATCCCCATCTCATTTGTCTCCTCTCTCTTTCTTCATCTCTATCGCTCTCTTCTTGTCTTATTTTCTTTGTTCTCTCAAACACTCTCTCTTTCTCTCCTCCCTCCCTTCCTCCGTTTCTCTACGCTTATCTTCCTCCTTCAGTTTTGTTCTCTCCCAAATCAAATAACAGCGAGTCCAGTTTAAACAGTTTAAACACAAGAGGCCGCAGGAAAACAACAGAACAGACGGAGAGAGAGAACGAGAGAAAGCCATGAGGTGAGATGAGGTGAGGTCAAGAGAAAGGGAGAGTGTGAGATAGAGAATGAGGGCAGAGAGAAAGAGAGGGGGAAGAGAGATGGGTGGCAGAGGAGAAAGAGAGAGAGAGAGAGAGGTTAAAGGGGGAATGAAGAGAGTAGAAAGGGAGGGAGAGAAACAAAAGGGAATAAAAAGAGGTAGAGCTGATGACAGAGGAGAACAAGGGAGAAAGCAAAAGAGAGTAGAGAGGGTGAAGGGAGAGAGACAGAAGAGAGAGAGGTGGAGGAGTGGAGAGAGAGAAGGTCAAACCATGTCAATGAGCACCTGAAGCCAAGAAATACATCAGCAACTTAAACCAAATGTGAGCTCAAGACTCAAGTGGAGCTGAGTGGAAGTATTTTCTGTAGAGGAGAGAAAAAACACGAGTATGAGAAGTATTTGGGCCTATGATGTAATGTACTTCAATACACTGCGTAACTTTTCTGGAAGAGCTCAGTCTGCTTGTCTCTGTGTATAGATTGTCATGGAGAAGAGCAGCTGATGATAAGAATACATGTTTTTGAGGTGTTCTTATGTATCCCTACTCCACAAATCTGACTCTTCCTGTTTGCTTCCATGGAAATGATGTTGCTTTGGCCATAATATTCCACAGTATGGCACTATCTATTTCCATGGAGCAAATTCCTAGGTACCACCTCCAAAAAGTCAGTGTTAAGATCAGGACTGACCTCCGTGTCCTCCTCTCCACTGCTGCTCTGACCCCTGGCTCTGGCCTCTTATAATACTCACAATGAACCCATAAATTACAATGGGCCATAAATCACTGCTAATGTGCTGCAGACTGCCCAATCTGATTAACAGTGCATTGTGAGGAACGGAGAGGAAATGTCCACTACTGACCTTACTCCGCCCACTTTGCCTCTACATTTTACTACACCGGGCATAGCAACAGACATTACATCATGCATTTAACTTGTAACATAATTGTAGGAACAGGTTCAGTGTCTTTAAAGAAAATGTTCAAACTGAAAATCCATAAATGTTATACTGTATTTTCTGCACTATAGGGCGCTCTGGATTATAAGGCGCACTGTCACTGAATGGTCTATTTTCTAACTTTTTTCACATATAAACATATGAACGTTCACAATAACTCTCAACTTTGTTCAGTTGTAACATGTAAAAAAAATACTGTCTGACACACTAAATTGTTAGTGTATTCACAATAAGTCATAATTGTTCAAACAGTTGGGTGATTACAGCGTCCAGCACGCCCACATGCCTCTCGTCATTATCCGAGTCAGTGTGGTTACTGTTCCCTGGTACTTCAGTGATGATTCCGGTCTTGGTGAAAGCTCAGACCACAGTTGATATCCGATCCTTAGCCCAGGCGTCCACGATCCATTGGCAGATCGTGGCGTAAGTCGCTCAGCGCTGTCTCCCCGTCTTGGTGAATGTGTGTTCGCCTTCTCTCATCCACTGCTCCCACACAGCTCGTACTTTCACTTTATAATAGTTTAAGGTGGGAGTTGTAAGCATGTCTCTTGACAGGTGCATTTTGATATTAAAAGGAATCACAGTATGTATTACTCCGCAAAGCTCCTGACTACAGTAGCCGTAATGCTGCAAGTGGTGCGGCTTTGTAGTTTACTAAAGTCGTGCTAAGACACCCCAATAAATTCATATATAAGGCACTCTGGACTATAAGGCACACAGTTCTTTTTTTGATGAAATTAAAGGCTTTTACGTGCGCCCTATAGTGTGGAAAAATACGGTACTTATTATTTGTTGGGGATGGGTCAACATGTCATTGCCATCTTGATTCTTGATCAACCATTTTATAACAGAAGACTGGACACGTTAGTAAATGTAATTTCAACAGTCTGACATCCCCATTGTAGGTTTACAGTGTGACAGGGTGGCACTAACACCACTTCACAGCAAGAAGGTTTCAGGTTAAATTCTTGGGTTTGCTTGTCCTCACTGTATCTGGGTTACCTCCATCAACCCAGAAAACACATAGACTGATTCATGGAGCCGGTTTCACTTCGTAGAAACCGTTTGACCTCGCAGTGTTAGAATTTGTTCACTTGACGGTAGGACAGTACTTTTTATCATTTAACCAATCACATCTATTTAGTCGTGACGTATGTAATGCGCCACTAACGGGGCTAACTGGTATATTAAGCTTTTCCCAAATGCCGTAAGAAGAAGGGCAATAACATCTTTCCCCTTGGTAAAATTCACCAAACATTCTCTTTGTTCCGGCTTTAAATCCTCGATCTCGGGAATTGTTGACAACACTGAAACTATGGCTCTTCACTGATTGGCTGCTGCCCGAATTTGCACTTCTGGGGTTTTTGCGAACAGTCTATTCTATTTTGATTCCTGACATAGTCGCTGGAGAGAAATGAAATTGAGCCGAGGCACTAGGTGGCACCAGCCTGGCTAAAAAACACACACTACTGTAGATACAATCTTAAATAGTTTAGGTAGATTGATACTTGTGGAAATTCATCAGCTGCAAAGAAAAGATAAACTACATTCAAAATCAATACAATTTGCTGCACAGAGGTTGCCACAAACTAGGACTAACCTAGGGGCAAACCAGGACTAAATCAGGACAGGTCACTATAAAACATCTCATTTATAAACAAAATAATGACCAACACACTAATGCACAATCTAATACATAGCTTTAATGATCCATTTTTACAGTGCAATAAATTACTTTTGTTTTTACCCTGTTTGTACAAACAACTCTGCTGCTAGAGGAATGATGCACAGTGAATGAGTTAGCTCCTGCATGAAAGCTCTGATCTTCTGTTAGGCTCAATGTAGTCATACGCAAACCATTCAAATAAAATTAAATCAAATGCATTTGATTTTACTTTAAGACACAAACAGATTTTCACTAAATTATCATGTCATATAATCATCATTAAAAAAAAACAGCTGAAGGTGCACTGGTAGTACCTAAATGTTCTTTTTGTGAACAATAATACAAGAAAATTAAATACACAATACTCTAGAAATAAAAAGTGCATTGTTTTGAAGGATAATTTTAAATCGTTTTGACAAAATGTACAGAAAAACATTGATTTGATATTGTCCAGTGTATGAGTATTTTAAGCCTAACTAGATCCTTTATTCCTTTACTTGAATCATGTGTTGGATTTGCTGCTGTTATATGTGGTCTTAAATCACTACAGGCTGGGGATAATGCAGTGATATGGTCCTTGTGGCTATTGTAAACTCTCCATTTAAAGGTTCTATATTGTGCTACAACAACTTTTGAAT